CTCACTGTGGAAGTCGAGGTAGTGTTCGACTGGACGACCCGGGTATGTGGCCTTGTCATTTATTCGAGGAGAAATGGTTGAGGCGACGGCCCAGAACAGCATGAGGATGGGAATGCTAGTGAAGACTGCAATGAAGAGGGTGGTGTAGATGCCGCCATGCAGTTGGCGGGCAATGTACCACGGCACAGCGATGAGCAGCCCGATGAGCAGGATGTTATTGAAGGAGTCACCTCCTGCGGCGTCGGCAGGGAGAGGACCATTCTTGATTGAGGGATACTAGAGGAGCCCGCCATAAGTCAGGAGAAGACATAGAGCTTTCATTGAGCTGCAGAACATACGGAAGTGGTGCGGACACCGCAGTTTGAGGGAGGTTGCTCCGGAGGGGCAGGAGGTGTCTGGATGAACTCGAAGTCCTCAGTGGACTCTGGATGTTCGTTGGCCATAGCGGCTGCTGTTGGCACGAAGGTATGTGAAAGAAGGGGGAAGCGATGCGGTGAACATTTCGAGGTGGGAAGAGAGGAACATGTGCGGGCCGGGGGATGCGGCGTTACGGTCAATGCGGTGTACTAGGTATTACTTGGTAGGTACCTGCATATCCAAAAGTGGAGATGCCAATCTTTTGATATCACCAGCCACGGTCAGGCGGCAAGATTTCGGTCTGTACTCTGCAGAGAAGCCTCTCTTAATCTTCATCGATCTTGCCTGCGAACTCTCCAAGGAGCACATCGTCCGTCGCAGGGCCCCGGTTGTTCCTTACCCATTCCGTCTCAACCCTGAAAAAAATCCACATCCATCTTCTCACCACCTCCAACAACTCCATCAGAAAAATCCCACCCTCCAGGTCATTAAAGTGATCCAAATGTGGTGACAGCTTGAAACTCCAGGTACACCGCAGGAGGAAATCTATAAGAATGGCACTATAGTACACCTCTTTTGCATGGAAGTACCGGTGACGCCGCAGGCCCCAAGGGTACTCTGGGTTACTCCTCTCGCGCCTAGAGGAGAAGAGGGAAAGGTCCCAATCTTTGGCCACATCCCAGTAGAAGGAATAGAATGAATTGACGAAAACGAAGAACATCCTGCAGAATGTTAGAGAAATGCAAGAGGGAAATAATTAGTTGTCCTCACCATAGTCTGAACAGCCCAGCCTCGCTCAGATGGAATTTGTTAGGGTCATAACCTCGTTGCAAAGCACTCAAAATGATGACTGGAAATGCGCTCGCATACTTTAACGCATTGGCCAGATGTTGCCCACCCCAACCCGAAGACGTAGATCGATTCCTTCGAACCCGAAAATACTCAATCAGACACTGCCGTAACCGAATCATGCTCGGGATGCTGATGATCAGAGGCACAAGGTATGCGCCTCCACAGCCGCGGTTTGGTCTCGCTGTACTGGTTGTCTTTGCATCAAGAAGCATGCATGTCGAAACGAATAAATCTCCCAGGACTTTTGCATAACTCGTGAGAACGTCAGCCAGCAGAATATCCCCGAATTTTCCATCTTGTACTTCTGCCAGGCCGCCCACGCTGATTCTCTTAAACGACTTCAGGAAATGTAGTCGACCCGAGCGCGACATGCGTTTGAGTGGCAGTAGAAAGCACACCGCGAGCAGCAGGAGGTAGGACTGAGGGAGGATCTGCCATCGGAGAGCTGCGCGCTCGTTGCCCCGTGTGACGGCCCAGAAGAGAAGAAGCGAGGTAATCAATGGAACGGACAGGAAAGATGCCAATCGATATGTCGAGTAGTGATGGTGCTGCGCCTGTCGAGGAGGATATCGAATCAACGCTGGCACATCCTGAGATGGTGAGCAGAGGACCGATAGACAAGGTCAGGACATTACACCTACAATTTTGACAAGATGCAAGTAATGTAGATTGAGTCCCCATGCCCAAATACCTAGTTGCGCCGTTAGACCATGTACAAAAGGCGTCCGTCCAGCGACATACCAAGAACAATTATAATCGCGACTCTGTAAGGGAGCGGCAGAACAAGACTGAACGAGTCGACCTCAGGCTCCACGGCGACGTCTCCGTCCATGTTGACTAGAAGATATCATACTTCGGATGACTATAAAGGATCCGAAGACTAAGGGTAAAGAGAAAGAAAATTGTAATATCAAAAAAGAGGGGAAGGGCTAAGTCGCATACTGAATTCGAGAAATCTGGTGCTCCAGCTTGCGAAATTGATATTTACTGGTAAGAAGTTCGGACGCAACCTGGTGACCTAATATGGCAGCCCCCCGCCGCCGCTTTTACACGCGCCTGGGAACCCCAACCCTCCAGACACTTGAAATACACTGGTAAACCCAGGTAGGCCTCAGTCCGTTTGCTCATTGGATTTACGACCGCTATCATCGATTTCCAGGATCAAGAGCTGCCAAAAGTTACCAATAGCGACTGTCCGCACACCCTTGTATCTGATTTTGCAACCCCGTGATATTGGTACAAGCTCATCTATGGTAGATTCAATTCGGACAGTTTTCAAGACGTCTTGATGTACTCCGCTTTGAAAGCAGTCGTCTTCATCTCGGCAACCAAGCTCTCGCCGAACTCCCCCTCGTATCCATGGGCTGCAAGGTATTCTCTGAAATTGGCGTCTTCGCTCTCAAGTTCTCGATCTCGGTCAGGGATGAATATCCAGGAAATAATGCCCCCGGCGGCGGCGAATCCGGCGCCAATGAGGAAGACCGCCTGAGTACCCTTTTGCGTATCGCTGAAGGAGTTCTGAATAGGCGTGAAAACTTGAGTTCCAATGGCGGCACCAGCCTTGCCCACAGCAGCGGCAAACCCCATGAAGTGGCCGCGCAGAGGGGTAGGGAAGCTTTCGGCCGCCGTCAAGAAGGTGCAAACCCCAGGCCCCATCTCTCCAAAACTATTGAAGGTCCCATAGAGGACGACAAAGAGAGGGAAGACGGATTGAATAGGGTTCAATGCGCCTCCGAGAATGAATCCTAAGACGGCCCAGCACGCGAAACCAAGGGTCATAGTTTGTTTGCGGCCAATCCTATCCATCAGTAACCCACCCACGAGGCAGCCTGGCAGATAGAAGCAATTCACCACCGTCCCGTATCCGATGTTCTGGATCAAGGTGTTGTTAGGATTGAGTTGCCCGATGATGGTGGAGCTGAAGATTCCAAACGGGTAGGTAACACTTTCGACCTGTTAACGACGCTCACGGAAGGAAGAATGGCACCCAACTTACAAGTCATACATAAACCACGCCAGAGAAGTCCCTACCATGGGCTTCCAATATCGCTTGATGATCAACCAATAGGGCACGTTTCGCTTGATAGCGTGTTTGCGATATTGGGTCGACTCGACCATCCGAATTCGGAAGAAGAAAAGTGCCACAGGGAGGACAAAACCCAATCCAAAGCAGACGCGCCAAGTGCCGCTCGAGATCTTCTCATTGTAGCATTCGATGACAATTAGGGCAACGACACCAGCCACTACGAAGCCCAGGTCGATGGCGAAGTCAGTCGCCACGGCAACCAGGAAGCCTCGTCTGCGGCGGACATATTCACTCTCGTCTGAAGCTTCGGCACTACCGGTCCCACAGGTCGGGTATTCACCTGGAGCCTGTTGTCAGGACGTCGACTGGCGTCGCAACATTTGAGTTGTACTCACCTCCAGCACCGAAACCAGCGACACCACGAGCAACGATCATCATCCAAAACATGCCGAGTTGAGTGGTGCCATGGGCAGCTGTAGCCAACACGATACCTAGGACAAGGAAGGAAGTTGCAAAGACAATACCGGTTCGACGACCTATCTTATCGATGAGAAAGCCAAAAAAGAGCATCCCAAAGATTTCGCCGATGAGATATGCATTGGACAGTCGAGTCTTGATGATGCTAGACATGCCGTCTTTGTACAGGTCCGTGAACAAGGGCTCCATGTATCTGCAAGGTGATTGTGTAAGTATTTCATTTCCATTCGGCGGCGACATGGCACCTACCCAATGATTTGCGCGTTGTATCCATCGGAGAACAAGGCAAGTCCCGCAACCAAAACGGTGATGACAGACGAGACCTTTGTGATCCTGGCGATGTCTACTCGACTGAGTCTTCTGTCTCCAATGTCGACATCCTGTCCATTGGGTTGACTCCCAGAGGACTCATGACCCGCGACTTCGTAAGAAGGCTGGTACTTCTCGGCTGCCATTGTGGTTGAAAGGAGGTCGCCCGTAGTGTCGAAGTGAAATCCTTGGACTTGGGTCTAGAGAGCAGGCGTGGGCATCCATATGCATCTTCAAATATATCCTGAGGAAATTTGTTCTGCGGCTACAAACCTCTCGCGTCGACGGGCCCCGTTCGATCTCGAACCGCCGCCATCTCGCCGTGATTCCGTTAACCAGTGGTCAACTCCGAGAGCTCTGGCTTCAACAATAAATTGAGAAAATGTAGGTTGGAAACCCTTCATGATAATCGCCCGCCACTTGTGTGGGAACGTGCCACTGGCCTCGCCGTTAAATTCTGCCAAAGATACGAGGCGAAGGGCGTTCAGCCTTCTCCTCCAACAGCCCTTTTTCGAGGCAAGCTTGCATGAGCTTAACCCACGTGCCAAGGTCAAACAAGATGATTCGGATTTAGAGAACCGGGAGGATGGCGATCTTTTTGCAATAGAAAGCCATTGACACAGTTCGATGTCGCATCTTCTGCAGCCACTCGGTTCGAAGTGCGATGTTGCAATGTCTGACAACAAGAAATCCTGAACAGGAGCAGCATTGTAGCCCACGTGGACACCTCGTATCCTTGTTGTCTGACGGGAGGAGCTAGCGTCGTAAGGTCGGCAAATGCTGGTTTCGATCCACAGAGGAAGTATTCCATTGAGGGCTCTTTCAATTGGCCAATGGGTGAGAGAAGGCAAGGAAAGTATATAAGCGGCCTAAGTTAGGTCACTATAGGCGTAGTCGGGATAGAGATGCAGTTTTGGAGCATTTAAGCATACTAAATTTTCAGGCATCGCAAATTGGTTTGGCGCAAAGAAAAGGCAGAATGCTGTTGACCGAAGAGCAGCTCCAGTTCTTTCGCAAAAATGGCTACTTGATCCTTCGTGACGTCCTCTCCGAGGAAGAGACCAAGGATCTCCAACGATGGGCGCAGGAAGTCCATGACTGGCCAACAGATGCGAACAGTCCATGGATGCCGTACGAGGTATATGCTTTGGAGACGGACAAGTGATGAAACGCTGAAGATCTGGCAGGAAATCAACGCTCAAGGGAAAACGGTGCTTTGCCGGACAGAAAACTATGCAAATTCCCATGCAGGCTTGAATAACCTCCTTCGCGGAGAGAAGGTGTTGAATCTGCTCAAACAACTGTCAGGGGAGGACATGTTGTTGTTCAAAGAAAAGATCAACTACAAGCTCGCAGGAAGTGGTATGGCCTTCACACACAAAGTCAGCGTCGACCTGTTGCTCACCAAAGCATAGGGGGATTTGCGCCCCATGTTGATTCGACAGCATATACTCACATCAAAAACATCAACCACCTTGCCATCCTCTTGGCTGTTGATCCATCGGATATGACCAATGGTGGCCTCGAGGTCGTTGATGGGAGCCATGAAATGAACGTGCCAATTGGTAAAGACAACTGCATCGAGCCAGAATGGGTCAAGCAACAGAAATGGACCCCTGTGGAGCTCAAAGCAGGTGAGCTGGGTTGACCACCTTCTTTTCAAGCGGTGCTTTCTCGTCCCACGAATCTGTAGAGGGCTGGCCTTCCAAGTTCTGATCCGGATGCTGCAGGACAAGTCCTCGTTTTCGGCTCCTATCTTGCTCACCGGAGTGGCGCCAACCATAGCAATCACGACCGAAAAGCGCTTTATGCCACATACAACTGTGCAAGAGAAGGTGACCTGCATGACGAGTATTACGCGCACAGAAAAGTAGTATGGCCACCTGTGCAGCTGCGGAAAAAGGGAGAAGAGTACAAAGAAGGTGCACTACGTTACGGATATGGAAGTCCAATGTTGAGTGTAGATGCTGGGAAGCAGCTCGAGGTAAGAACCAAACCGATTATGGTTGCCACTAGTTGTTCTTCTCGTGCTTTGCTCATTTCCTCCCTGGCAGTTCGATGAAGAAATGTGGAAGTCTGAACCTGCGGCGGCACTGGTTGCATCCCGCATTATTGACATACTCAACAAGTATGGGAAAGGCGACTACATCGGCGAACCGATATCGCAGATTGAACATTCATTACAATGTGCGCACCTTGCCGCCCGGAGTATGGCGGACCCACAAACAATTGCAGCCGCATTGCTCCATGACATTGGGCAGATCGTCCCAGAGGCGGATGCTGAGCATATCCTGGGCGGAGCTCAGGTACAGAACATGCGTCCGAATAGCATGATCAGCCTGGATTTGCAAAGTTCGGATAGCGTGGGGAGGGTTTCTCACGAAACACTGGGTGCCCAGTATCTGTTGGCATTAGGATTTCCGGCCAAGGTGGCTGAGCTCGTCGAGGCTCACGTTCCTGCAAAGCGTTATCTCTGTGCCACAGAAGATGGATACTACAACACTCTGAGCGACGCAAGCAAGGAGAGTTTACGATTTCAGGGAGGACCCATGAGCCCGGATGAAGTGCGACAGTGGCAAGAGAGCAAGTGGGTAAATGAGAAAGCAAATCTGAGGAGATGGGATGACGGAGCCAAGGTGGTTGGCTTGAATGTACCTGGACTGGAGACATATCGACCTGTGTTGGAGCAAGTCTTGAATTCGTGACGGATGAAAAGCCAGACAAGATAGCTTGACGAAAAATGGTGAAAAGAAGTAACTTAACGGCTATGTCTGATCCTTGGAGTACACTCTTTATGTCTTTAGCTGAGAGTGATGGCAGAGATGGTATACTTGAGGAGGAAAAGGTCGAGGAGGTCTGACAACAAGCATTGCTCTATGATATCGAGTCCATACATAAGGGCATCTGAATAAGAAGGTTTGCCGAATCACATGACGTACTCTTCTAGACTGCGTTCACTCCATTGCATTCGTTTGCGGCGGTCCACTGCGAAATATTACAGACAATTGCCCTCCCCTGCACTAGGTCCGGCGAGCAGGATGAGGTGGTATGGAGTAGTCTCCATATTGTTGACTCTGTTTTGGCCGGCTTCTGCCATCTTTGCTGACGATGCCTTCCACATAGACTTCCACCACGCTCTTCTTGGAAGCCCACAGCCCCATACCACCTTCTTCCATAGACCTCATTCGAACACCAATGCCTCTCTGCTCTACACCGTCTCCGACAAAGCTGTTCTAGGCGCCGTTAATCCAAAGGACGGATCAGTGCTGTGGCGTCAGCCACTGGCAGGACAACCTGTTGATAATGCCTTGAGTTCCTTTCTGGTTTCGGGAGAAAGAGACGGACAGCTGGTGAGCGGGTACGAAGCAACTGTGGCGTGTTGGGATGCTCTCGATGGAAGACTCATTTGGGATTACAAGTTGCCGGAGGGGACCGTAATAGATGGACTGCAAGCCATTCCTCTCCAAGGCTCCGTCACCGACGGAGTTACGCAAGATTTTATGGTTTTAGCTACACCAACGGACTCTCAAACACATACTTCGGTCATTCGAATTGCTGGCGACGGGAGCGGACAACGATGGCAACACATAGATTCAAGCACAGCGCATGGCTCCTCCGTGTCAATCGCTGTCACCTCGAAGCACATCTATTATATCGCAGTGTCTCACGGTTTATTGACGAGCAACAAGGCGAAAGTTGTCACTCTCGACAGTGCAACAGGGCACGAGACTAGCCAAACGGGCGTGCACGTCGATGCTGAGCCGCTGGGGACTAACCGTCGATACGCAGCGGCTTCCTGCTCCAACTTTCCCTTCCTGATCTCCGCCGAGAGACCGTTCCGGTCGGTCAAGGTCAGCCTTCTCAACAACCCAAAAGTATCGTCCCTCACTTTGGACGAAAAGGGTGAGGAGATCGTGGATATTACTGTCCATGCAGATTGTGACCAAGCTGCGGCAACTCATTTTCTACTCCAAATGAAAGGCCAGACACGACAATGGGCCGAGGTCTTTCATGTGAACACAAAATCAGGCGATGTTACAAAGGCCTATTCACTACCGGCCACCGAAGAAGAGAGTGTCTTCACTGTTAGCAGCTATGAGACGACCACCTTTTTCATCCGTTCTACCGAGTCGGAAGTCCTTTTGTACTCCTCGGAGTCACACGGACAGCTAGGAAGATGGAAGAAGACAAACTTCAAGACTTCTCCGGGAAGCTTTCGCTCACACGCGACCGCCGAGGTTGTCAGTAGGGGGAAGGCCAGCTACGCTGTTCGAGTCGCTGAATTCTCCACAAGTGGAGATTGGTCTCTCATTCGCAATGGAGAACTGCAATGGAGCCGGCCGGAAATGCTGGCATATGCAAATATTGCTGCATGGGACGAAAATGGCACTCCAGATGCCCTGGCTGAGGAACTCGACCTTGAATCTTCTGTTAACCCCTGGACGGCTTACATCCATCGCCTCAAGCGACATCTCCATGATCTCACATCACTTCCAGAGTATCTACGCAGCCTTCCCGACAGCATTCTGAAATATACTCCTGATGCTGATGCAATTACCCGCAAAAATCTAGTGGGGACCAAGGTTGTGATTGTTGCCACGAGTCGGAAAGAAGTAATCGCGCTCGACGCCACCACTCCAGGGGTCCTCAGGTGGCAATCAGATCTCTCCAGCTATATCCCGGGAGATGCTGAAATGAAGTCTGTTACAGTTGCTGACGGAAAAGCCTCAGTCTATCTTTCCAATGGGTGCCTCATTGTTTTAAGCGCGAGTAATGGAAGTCTTATCGAATACCAGCCCGGCACCACTCCCATATCTCATCTGATTCGCATCCCCAGCAGTCCTGCGCCAGCAGTCATCAAAGTTGGATCCGATGGTGTTCCTCATCTCGCCGAAGATTCCGTCCCTGTCATTGCGTTGGAAGGGAACGTTGTGGTAACATTAAGCCCAGAAGGAAAGGCAGTTGGATGGACCGTTGGTCGCAATGTCGAGAAAACATGGATCCTGAAGCCACAAGAAGGGATGAAGATCGTTCATGCTGTTGCTCGGGCAGAGCATGATCCAGTTGCCTCAATCGGCCGAGTGCTAGGTGACAGATCCGTACTGTACAAGTATCTCTCGCCAAACATTGCGCTTCTGCTGGCCACCTCGAATTCCGGAGCATTGACAGTCTATTTAATCGACGCCGTGACAGGAGCCATTTTACATACCGCAACCCACTCCGGCGTCCTTTCCTCAGACATCCCTGCTGTGATTTCCGAAAACTGGTACGCCTACACATTCACCGCCCGTGACCCATTCACTTCCGGACTTTCCAACCAGCTCATCATCTCCGAACTCTACGAATCCTCAGTCCCGAATGATCGGGGGTTATTGTCAGCGCGGACGAACTATTCCGTCTTCTCTGTGGACGGCGCCGCAGCAAAACCCCACGTCATATCTCAGTCATACACTGTGGCTGAACCAATCTCTCATTTAGCAGTCTCGCAAACCGCGCAGGGGATAACCACACGCCAACTGCTCGCCACGTTACCCAACAGCAATGCTATAATCGGCATCCCCCGCGAAATACTCGATCCTCGCCGTCCGGTCGAGCGGGATCCCAATGCCACGGAGCGAGAGGAGGGTCTCACTCGCTATATGCCCAACTTAGAGTTTGATCCAAAATACTACCTCACACACGCACGCGAAGTGATGGGAATCAAGGAGGTTCTCTCTTCCCCCTCCCTCCTGGAATCTACATCCATGATTTTTGCATTCGGACATGATGTATTTGGCACGACGATCACTCCGAGCATGGCATTCGATGTGTTGGGGAAGGGCTTTAATCGGGTGCAATTGGTCCTCACGGTGGTGGCGTTGTTTGTAGGCGTAGGGGCGCTGAGACCTCTAGTGAGGAAGAAGACGGTTGAGGGGCGGTGGAAGCAGTGAGTTAACTTCGAGCTCTACCAAGCGACTTTTACATGGATTGGATCCTGCTGTTGGCTTTTGTCGTGTCAACAAGATTCGCGACAATATAGAACAAAATGTGTCAAGAACGGCCTGATTGAACAGATTCCCTGCCCATTGTGACGGACGAGATGGAATGGACGGCTGAAGGGAAGCGAGAGCAAGAGTGACCTGTGTGCTGTTTGATATGTAGAATATCCTAGTTAGGAATGAAGACAAGGAAAGCAAAGAAAGAGTCCGTCTGGGCTGGAGGGTTTGGAAGATTTACCTTCTGTCCTCGTCTACCCCGACCTTTGCTCTATCTGTGCAATAGACATCGAAAGGACGTCGGTGGACCGCCAGACACTATTTTCTCTTTCCTGACCGGTCATGGAGCCATGTATGATTTCCACGCGCTTCTAGTGTTTGATGCCAGCTACATTTCATATTACATATATTAGTATCCATAGAGAGGTAGATATCTCTGTAGAGTAGAATTCGGGAAAGCACAAGTTCCCATCCTCTCGTGCTCCCGCGTGCATCCTGCCTAAGTGCCCATGTTAAGCGCACATCCCATTCCCTCAAACATAGGACAAAGCCATATTTCGGCCGTCTGCGACAATCTTCGCTGTGTCGGGACACTCAACCTCGTAAAGGATAACTAGCTTCGGGCTAGCGACCTCGGGCCATCTTCCCTCATCGTGAAATGTGTCGTTGGATGTGGAAGCCTATGTGGATGTCTCGTCAATATCGCTGCCCGTGATGGAAGGCTCTCCGATAATGACAGCATCCCGAAGTCTCCGCGTAGATGTGCCGGGATCCGAGAGAGCGTTTCGGATCTGCTCCATGGCTGTGTGAACATATCAAGCATAATCTGCCGTCGCGATCATCTTCCGGTCGACTGAAGCCGACTTGCCTCACTGCCATGCGTGCTGTACAGTGCACCGACATCTCCCAACCGGGCAATCGCCGGTCATACATCCGAAACAGCCTCGCCAAATGCCCTGGTAGTAGTCGGGATGACATTCTCGCATTCAGCATGCCAAGGGTTGTTGGGGGCGGCGAAATTGCCGTAACTCATGTTCAGAATTCGACCAATTTCTTTAAACTTGTATCTTGCAACCGGGGAAAATAGAGATATGTCTCCCTCAAGAATCGCGTGACGTCTTCAAAGCTACCAAAATCCAGGTTTGCGGCGACCAAGTAGCTAAAGCGGGTGCTGAAAAATCGCCTCTGAGACGGCACCGGGTCCCCCTTTCGCTCGAGTTCGGGACGCAAGAATACGTCTTCCACGTACGCACCAATAGAGTAGATCCACAGAACATCGCGTGTGCGTTCATCAGGGACAAGAGAAAAGTCCGCGGCCGCGGGCCGTAGGGCTTCCATGACAGCAGTCATTTCCATGTGGTAACGTTTGCTCTCACGGAAGACGCCGCCGGGTTGATAGTGCTCTTCGAAGATGCATCGATCAAAACAGCGCATAGCAAGGCATAACGCGAACTCGTAAGTAAGCGCGAGTTGGGATGCAATTCCATTAGGCGCGGAGACCACTGTCATAGGCTTGCCATCCATTTTAGCAGCTTCAACCAAGTCGCAACAGTAGTGCAGACCGCGAGCTCGGACTGCGACTTTGCGAGCATGAGACCAGCGGAAGATCTCTGTCGTGCCAGAGGATTTAGACGTCGCATATTTGAATTTTAGCTCCTCGATCACTAAAAGCTCTCGCATGTCTTCAAATATAGCTTTTAGGGCCGGGCTGATGGAGGTTGAGCCGGAAGATTCAGAGGGAGCTGTTTCAGGGAAAGCAAGCTTCAAGTCTTCGCATAATGTGGGCGGGTCGTTCGACTCGGTGCTCCACGGGTAGTCGCGCCACGATCCAGGGTCGAAGTCGCCAATTTCCATCACAGGACGAGTGCGTAGGGCAGCAGCGAGGCCTACCACCGCACCAAGCAGAATTTCTTTCTCCATGCGGCCGATCGCTGACCAACCTCCCATCGACTCAATTATTTTCCTGGATGCGGTCAAGTGGACTATTGCTGCATGAACATTGCCGCTAAGCATCTCGGCGGCTCCAAGCCAGCAGCAGGCGGCGAAGATTTTCCTCAGCTTTCCAGCGTCTCCAGTGTGCCGCTGTGATTCCAGAGACTCTTGTAGCGCTCTGAGTGCCTGGAATTTATGTTTCTCTGCATGCCCCAATGTCCGCTCGTACGGCTGGCCTCGGTTCCGCTGCCTGCTGCTGCTGCTGTAGTATGCATGGGAGATAATTGCATGACTAGAAGCTTTGTCTGTGATAAAAGCTGGCATTTTCTTTAGGGATTCGGCCGTGAGGGCGCCGTGATTGTGACGCAAGGCTATCTCGGATGGCCAGGTGTTCAGCATCGATTGTGCCCGGGCCTGTTGAAGTAACAAGTGCTCAAGTGCACTGACTGGTATGACCGTTGTATTGAACGGATCAGTGTTTCCTTTGAATATGGGAATGGAACTTTGTGCAACCACCTGCGATTGATTTCCATCTCGCCTGACTTGAATCTCCCTCCTCTTGCGTCCGACATTGGCCTCTGTGCTGCTGTTTCCGCTGGAACTCTTGGTAGGAAGACGATACCTGTGGAAAGGTTGATTCTGCTGGTTGAATTTCTGCCAGGGCTTAGCACTCTCTTGAAGTAGTTCCTGAGCAGACGGGGTGTCCACGGGGCGTGTCGACGGAGGGGACGTGGTCTCTTCACTTGAGGATCGCTCCGAACGAGTCGCGAGAGCAGCAGCACTGGTTTCTTCGTCTGGTCGCTGAGTGGACTGCTTTCTGTATTTTGGGTGCGACACAGTTGCAGCATGAGACCGGGCCGAGGCCCGGATTAGCTCCTGTTCTCGCTTGGAGGACGGGAAAGGGTGGGAGTCAACAAAGCGGACCGCTGTTGGCTTCTTCTTTGACGCCATCCAGTCCCGCTGTCACCGATTAATCGTGGATGATGAGTGAGCAAGCATGCTGAGAAAGAGAAGTAATGGTCTGCAACCCACGAGCAATATCCTCTCAGGCGACACGCGGATGGGATTAGCGATTCGAAATCAAGCCAGATTGGGACTCACCCATAAAGCAAACAAAAGTATGTAACAACAAAGACAATAACATCCAGGTCTCGCCAGGATCATGACACAAGACAAGAGAATGGGACATGATATGAGAATCTCAATGGACTGGCCGGATGGCCTTATATTGCGATCGGGCAAAGCGCCGATATGGATTTTAGCCAGTGGTGTTGTTGGTCGGAGACAAGGAGCAGGATGACAGTAACAAGCGGGATGGGCTCGCGGCCAGGAGCAATGAGTGCCTAGGTGCATACCTTTAGCAGTAAATTTCCGGCATCAAGAAAAGGTCAACTGTTTTGGGAAGGTAAATGATTGGTGTGTGGGACACCCAGAGTGAAGAGGGTTCCAAAATGGTGATATGTGGCATCTTCCCAAGTATCGCCCAAAACGTGTTGGATAACTTTGAGGTGTGGCATCTAGAAGATCTGCCAGCACCGTTAAGATCCACTTCTTGCTTCTTGTTTGACCGCATTGAACGACTCCCGGCCGCCATTTGTGTCGGCCTAAGGGGATGGGATGCGTGAGATTCGATGCGGCAGCCCCAAAGAAGGTGTGCTATCTCCATTGGCGAGAAACACTGCCCGTATTCAGGCTAGCCTCGTCCCCTCTTTTCCACCTCTCCGCATCCGTAAAGCCCGTCGGGGAGGTTCTGGTGCCCGAAACCATGGGAAGGGCTTGGTGGCCACGGCGCCCAGGTATGCGGTGATTCGCGAACCTCTGCATGAGCTGAACGGCGTCAAACACGCACATAAGAGAGGTTCGCATACAGCTCTGCGGAGATGATTTCGGTGATCACTTAGCTTTGACGATGAGAGAGGAGTCCAAACCCCGGCACATCTCTTGTGGAACGGACTCAATGCCTTGTAACAGCGTACCAACAACGTCGGGTGCTGGCTAAGGAAGGTTAAGGAACCCCCGATCGAGGACAAGTTTTGGGGCACCCCTTTGAAGGCAGTAGTGCACTTGTAACGTGCATGACATCATTCTTCTGGATATAGTTGCACAGTGAGCAGTCTTGTGAGTGGTGCGCGAACGCGAGGAAGTGAGAGTAGCGTGACTGTCGAAATCAGCGAGCAAAGTCGCTGGCACTTGGGTTGATAGGTCGATTGTGCAGACAGAAGCAAACAGGAAGTAAGGCGTGTCGGGCGCGACGAAGGATATTTCTCTCTGGAACGAGTATGACATGACAATGTTGTCGCGTTCAAAGACGAAGATCCAGGCGTGACGAAGCCAGAGAGTACGAATTCAATGAGGCAGAAGGAATGAATGGGGTTTGTTGCAAATTTCGGAATTGATCGTCTGCTGTTATGAAATTAAGTTGCTTGAGACCGGGGCCTATGTCCTTGTCAAACAAACGTGACACGGCCAGAACTTGTGCACAATGAGGATCGCCCTCTCAGGACGCCCTTGGGATTTGAGGATGATGGATTCGGTAACGAGTACAAGAGTGACAAAGTGTTTAAGAAATGTCGGTCGCGTTTATGAACAGTCTTGGAAGGATTTTTCTGCTTAGTCGTGGATTACACAGACAAGGCTGCAAGCCCCCGCTCAACCCTGCCAAAGTAATACCTGCTTGTACGAGGTAGGTACCTGACCTCGCGGAGTCCTTTGTAGGTACCCACTGGGTAAGGCTGGCCCCCCCCCCCCCCGGAGGAGTTAGGCGTTGCGACCCTTCGGCCCTTTACAGGGGCTCTTGTGAGTGTCCCACAAGCCTCGTGCGGAGAGACATGTTTGCTTGGCTGCCTCAGCCTCGCAGCCTGCAGCCTCGCCATAGAAGCTTCTCGTACCTTCTGCGACTGGGTCCACGCACCGCCCCTGCGTCATTCGTCCAGCATCACCATGTCCAGCTGTCTCGTTGTCAGGCCTTTCTTTTGTCTTCCGCAGCACTTTTTTCAGACCACCGAAGGATTACTCTGAGATCAGCCCATGATCCTAATGTCCAAGTCTCCCTTTTGAGCACATGCACGGTCTACCCGTGCTAAGAAACCACAGTACTGCACTTCATTTCTATTGGGTTCTGCTCGATCATTCTATTGACTCCACAGGCACGAGCCCAAAATCCCGCAAACCGGACACCGTTTGCCCTTCCAGCCTCGTCATTCCCTTCCTTTCGATATTATTTCTTCCCTCTCACCTGCCCTACTACTTTTCTTCCAGATCAGAAAATCACATTCACCTTCGCACGCACTAATATTCGACCAATCACACCCCTCACATCACCATGGTAGCAGAAACAAAACTCTACGACGCCCTCTCCATCTCTCCTTCCGCCACTCAAGATGAAATCAAGAAGGCTTATCGAAAAGCCGCCCTGAAATGGCACCCCGACAAGAACAAAGACAACCTAAATGCAGCCGAGAAGTTCAAAGAGGTGTCTCAAGCCTACGAGATTCTCTCGGACCCTGAGAAGAGAAAGGTCTACGATCAATATGGTTTGGAGTTCCTTCTGAGAGGCGGTCAGGCTCCTCCGCCGGGCGCTGAAATGCCGGAGGGCATGCCCGGCGGTGGTTTCGGTGGTATGCCAGGTGGTTTCAGCTTTGGGGGAATGCCTGGGGGTCCTGGTGGTGGTGCACGAACATTCCACTTCTCCACCAGCGGTGGTCCTGGAGGCTTCAGCTTCTCGGATCCCAATGACATTTTCGCCCAGTTTGCCCGAAGTGGTGCTGGCGGTGCAGGTGGCGGCGCTGGTGGTGGTGACGACGCCGACGACATCTTCAATTTGTTTAGTGGCCTAGGCGGCGGTGTTAGAGGGGCCGGAAGTAGACGGAGCACAGGCAACTTTGCCCGTCATGCCAGACCACAGACTCCTGAGGTCACCGTCATTGAGCGGCCCTTACCAATCACCTTGGAGGAATTGTACAGGGGCGCGCACAAGAAGATGAAGATCAAGAGAAAGACATTCAACCCTCAAGGGCAGCGGGTTACCGAGGATAAGATTTTGGAGATGGACATTAAGCCAGGTCTGAAAGCCGGTTCAAAGATCAAATTCTCTGGAGTCGGGGATCAGGAGGAGGGCGGTACCCAGGACATGCATTTTATTGTCACCGAAAAGCCCCACTCTACACTTACTCGTGACGGCGACAATCTAATAACGACGATCGAGTTAGACCTGAAAGAGGCCCTCACAGGCTGGAAGCGGACTGTTACCACCATTGATGGGAAGCAATTGAACGTCTCAGGCGCAGGACCCACTCAACCTGGCCACGAAGAAAGATTTCCGAATCTGGGCATGCCCATCAGCAAGAAGCCTGGCGAAAGGGGCGACTTCATTGTCAGGGTCAAGGTCCGCTTCCCCAGATCATTAACTGCCGCCCAGAAAGCCAAGATCAAGGAGGCTCTTCCATGAGCATGGAGTGGTAACCGGCAGGGAGGTGTGACAGCCTGAGGATGCTGTTGCTTCACCCGTGAAAGACCAGAGTAAAGAGAGTCATACCAGCGACAGAGGAGACGAAGTGGTACGATGCTCGTCGATATCAGAGTCCGCTTGGACAACAGAAGGACACGGAGGTTATGCAGGTCCACACCTCCCGAGCATTAAGAACCTGGCGCCAATGATTGCATGCTGCATCGGAAGGATGGTGAAGAGCTGTATTATGTGTCGAATTATGATAGCCAGCGTCAAGAGGAGACCTTGTTGTGGCACGCGTGGTGGGTTCGCGTCATCTGCGGTGAATGACTTCAGATAGGCGGCGGAAGGAATGGATGAAGCGCTGTGCTCCTGAGCGGAAAGCGCCTTTATGAGAGACGAATTGGATTGAGTCACGACTTACATACAAACGGCCGGCCTCGTATTCCACAAGGCTAGTTCCTTCTATGTCCCTGGGATATGCTTATGGTCCATGACGGCGGCGCAGGTCTGTAATCACGGCGTTAGAACGAGCGATACGGGTTCCTTGTCTCCTCGCCTTTTTCTTGTAGATAGTTACATTTCTTGTGTTGTTTCAATAACATCGGGCATCTTGCCCATTTCTTCCTCTAGATTCCCCTTTTCGTTACTTCGCGTTTCCCAACCTATTATTATGTCTTCTGTTTCATTGATTTCAGTTCTCGTGACCCATCCTCGTCGCAGCCCTGGAGCAACCCTCCCTTTTCTCGGGTCTACTATCTCGTCGTAGCTCCTATTTTCTAAACGCCTGTGCTCTCAGCGTCGTTCTCTCCACTTGTTCTTCCTAGTACCTTGACGTTGACCTTTCTATTTGAAGCCAGCCTCCCACTCGACCCCAAATCACAACTTCTCCACCGGCGCACCCACGTCCACCTCGGCGACCTGATCGATACCTTGGTAATCTGGGACATCAAGGCCGTACTTGGCAGCGACATCCTTGCTCAAGAAGCGGCCGCCCATGAAATGCTTCTTGCCCTTGAAGAACTTGACGCATGGTTTCGCGGCGGTGAGACTGATCAGGTAGTCGGGCATGAAGTCGTGTCCGAGCTGGCCTTCTTCCGGCGGGCCGCCGGCCACGTCCCACGACGAAGGTATGTCGACGCTCAATACGGGTTTCTTGGACTCGATCATGGCCTTGAGCACAGTGTCGAAGGGTGCGCGAACCGGGGGTTTGAACGAGAACCCGAACAGGGAATCGATGATCAGGTCAGCCTTTCCCAGCGAGGACTGATACTCCTCGGTCGTGGTCAAGAACGGGATGTGCAAGTGGCGGAGTTGCTTTTGGAGGCCCGTGAAGATGGGTGCGTTGGTTGGCTTCGGGTAGTAGATTTCTGGGTTGTAGCCGTAGTGGTGCAAGTGGCGGGCGCAGACGAGACCGTCCCCTCCTGCAAGACAGGTTCAGGAACAGATCACTAATGGAGATTAGAGAAGGTCCAGAGATCAAAGACGTACCGTTGTTCCCAGGTCCACAGGCGATGAGGATGTTCTTTCCTTGCGAGGGTGGGTGGACTTTGTACACTTTGCCAACCAAAAGACCAACACGAATCTCAGTTTCGCGTCCTCCGATAACCTTGTAGATTCCAACAGCAGGCTGTCTGCTTTTGTTGCTTACCTGCCTGTGAGACGCTCAACCCAGCCAGTTCCATCAATTGATCAATGCTGAACCCTCCTTCCTCGCTCATGAGCTCCTTGTCCAGATCTGCCGCTTTTTGTGGCGCTAGAGTCTATACCCGGCCGTCAGTCAGTGATCTCCAGCCCAGCAAATTACAGCAGCATTTTGAATTTTCCAATAGCAAGAAGCGATAGGACGCAGGTGAATTGAAACGTACCTTGAGCGCCATTTTGGAGAATGTCTTGGCAGTGAAAATCGGTCGAAGTACCCTTCTGGGAAAACAGGCTCGGAGCATAGGACGTATGTATCAGAATGGTATGTCTCAGAAGACGAGACCTGCGAGACTAATATTTCTGATAAATAACGTTTGGACGAAATGAGTTGTTCAATGGGGTGAGAATCATACAACATCGAGTATATCGTCATGGTTCGGCGTCACTATCTTCTTCCGCCAATCAAAAGCTCGTGCAGACTCCGCACAAGGCTACGAGGCTGGACTGCGCCTGACTGCGCTTGGCTTCGCATTCTCCCAGAAGTTAGATTTCGTTAAATCTGAACCTCCTAAGTTCCCACCAGTGCACATCCACCAGCGTCCGCGCGCCGCGGCTATAACATCTTCTCCATATCCTCCTATATACTCTATTTTCATCCTATTAGAGTATCAGAAAACCAAACGGCAACAATGGTCCTCCGAATTCGTCTAGCCCGCTTCGGCACAAAACGAAAACCAATGTACAACATCGTCCTCGCGCAGGCAAAATCTGGGCGCGACAAAAAACCCATGGAGGTGCTGGGGACGTACAACCCGATTCCACAAGCACCGCTGGCAATCCCGGATACTCCAGAGCTTCTAGAGAGTGGAGAGAAATACGTCCCCAAGAAAATGAAGGATATAAAGTTAGACACGGTGAGGACGAGGTATTGGCTTGGGGTTGGGGCGCAGCCGACAGAGCCCGTAGGCAAGTTGCTGAGACTGGTGAGTCATGTTCCGTCCTTGTCGATTTTGTTCGGGAAGCACAGCCATGGCGGATGGAGTAGGACGATTTGAGCTAGCTTGAGGGAGAGAAAGAGCGCGAGAAGCAAGAGTGTGTTGGGGGAACAGATGCTCTATCCATCACGCACTTTTTTTTTTCGTTTCTATATGTTCAAAGCGTTTCCCGACTTGCAAAAGATCCTCGACTAATATCTCGTCCTTCACGCGCACAGATTGGCATGCTCGAAGAGAAACCCTCCAAGGTCAAGAGATTTCCCACACAACCGTACAAACCGGAAACACAACCACCATCAGATACCGAGCCCGCGAAGCAAGAAACTTGACAGTACCGCATCAGGGATGAACAGCTTAACGGTGTTGTTGTACAATGAGTCGGCATAAGGATAGGTCACAGGCGTCCGATTTGCGTACCACAGGCGGAAGCATAGCTATTGGCGTTATGATTGAGTAAGCATCAGAGCTCGAAAGCATGTAGCCGCGTGAGAGGGATACGGCATCTATTTGGGTTCAACGGTGGCAGACGGACCTCGAGGTGAAAGAACCGCTCTGTACAGTACAGCAACCCTGTCACAATTTTGGTCTTGTGAAGAGGGAGCTCGCTCCGGCGACGGTGGAAAGTGTGCCCGAGACCAAATGATCGTACGTCCGATATACAAGAAACACTTGGATTTCTAGACCAAACAGCTACCCTATTCGAAATCCATCCCAATTACAGCATGGCAGGAGCTCTCCCTTTACGAGCCTTCTGCCCTCTGGTCGGACCACATCTTCTCTTTAAGATCGGCTCGGAAAACTTTCAGTATTGGTAGAGGCATTACGGTCGTTTGGAATCATCTCTTGATCGACAAGTGCCGAAATCGAAACAAAAACACGAACACATGGTCATGAGCACAAAGTCCGGCAGGCCCTTTCCATTACCATTAATATTATTGGGGTCGCTTTCACTTGATTCCTGCGCGATCGCCCGGGTTCCGTCTATGCTATTCCTTACCATTCACTGTGGGTGGCGGATACGATAAGTATCCTGTGAGCGGCTTGCAGGCAACTTCCTCAGTCGAGGCCTGACTTGGCCAAAATGTTGAATTCGACACCGAGCTCGTATAAAGAAAAAACGGCCACTGCGTGTTCTTGCCGGCAACCTGAATCCCCTTGCAATTTATAACTCCTCTCTCCTCAACTCGCCGCCTTGAGACCCAACAGCGACGATCCTCGACTTCCCCTCGGGACCGTCGAGGAGCCGCAAGGGCCCTTCTACCCACTTTTCGAACAGCCTGCTGCTGAAGGTCTCGGCGTCGGGACTGAGGTTCGGAAACCCTCCAAACTCCCAGTCGAGATCCCCGCCGAAGCGTTTGGGCAGGTTCTCGGCGCCCAGTTCGCGGCGCAGGATCTCGGCGCTCTCATGGTGGCCGAGCACGGCGATTTTTCTCGTCGTCTCCTTCTCGAACCACATTGTGATGAATTTCCATATCTGCGGGAAGAACGCGGGCGCCCCGACGACCTGTCATCACGGTAAGGACGACGTGTTAAGCAAAAATGGCACCAGACGTGGAACCTCCTCGGGAAACATATTTTGGGTTGCGCTTTCTGGGATAGGAGCGGGCTTACTCACATATATTCTCTTCACCGTCTCAGGATAGTGTGCGGTCGCCATGGTGCTCGCGGCGTTGAGGAGCCTCCGCAGTCGCCAAAACGTCGGTATGCCGACGTGCGATAGGTCGATGATATTGCTGTCCGGGGCCCAAGAATGTCAGCAGCTGCACACAAATCAACGGGGTGGACGGGCACCCCTTTGTGGAACTCGGACAATGCGAGACAACAACTTACATGGATTTGGTAGTGCGCCGGTGGTGTAGCTTTCCGCACAATGGCTGCACAAATTGAGTAACATACTCGGCAGCGAGGAAGACGCTCGATAATGCCGGGTCCATCTTGTGCAGTGCGAGGATGTCCTCGGGCTTCACCTGGGACACGACGTAGACCATGATGGGCACGCCCGTGTCATCTCGTCGGCCTGTCCATTGGGGTTGCTAGAATAGTCGTGAGTAACATCTCGAGTGGGAACCAGCCGAGTCAGGTAGGCCAAAAATGGACGGCCTGGTGGGTTGCAGTTACTGAACTTACCAGTCTCCTGATGGTCTCGAATTGGGCGATATCGACATCGTCGTAGGTCTTCTCCAACTGGATCTCGCGCCGCCAGTTTGCCGAAGCCGCGTATTGTTTGAACGCGGCGGGAACATCATATTTCCGCGCTCGCAGATATCGCCTTGCGTCCATTCTGTCAGAGATCCAAATGTAGATCCCATACGCCGTATCGCCAAAACACACACGATACGGGGAGAGTCTCTCCAACTTACAATAGATTGGAATCGTCGTTGTCGTCGTCTGGGGCGCTATCCCCAGCCACCAGCTCGCTTTTCGGCCACGACACGTGGTTCTTGCGGCAGAGTTCTCTGAGCTCGGCGAGGGCTTTGTCCTCGCGCTCGACGACCGAGTCGGTGCGCGTGATTGACCTCTCCGAGAGGTTGGTCCGCCGCCTGCTCAGCGAGGCGTGCGTTATTGTTCTCCACATCTCCATTCCGATTTGGGTCCCTTCAAGATCTGCTGGGATGAAACAAAAGAATCTGACTCCAGGTGTTTTTGGCTCTGACGTGGGGGTTTTTTTTTGGGGCGTCGACGCCCTAATATTGTCGCTCGTAAGGGTGGTTTGATTTTATTTCGTGGTCATGGGCTGCAGAACAAGACGGCGTCGTCAGGTGATGAAGTGGTGGGAAATATTCTCAACGAGGGATAATAATATCAATACGAGACCAACCACCCCAGCTTTATCATATCAGATCGATCAAGACACAAGACTGGTTCGACGATCTTGGCAGACTCGGTCGAACAGAGCATGAGGCTGGTGAGGCCTCGACACGAGAAGCCACTTCGCCCTGAAACCGGAGACCAAGCAAAACGGTAAGTGGCTGGAGGGGACAAGGCCGGGGACAAGGCCGGGGACAGGGGGGGGGAAGAACAAACACCGCCAGCAATGTCACACGGCGCTGGCATTGCTCCTCTGGACCCTGCTTTCAATCGACCATTCTACTTCGATTTCAGCGGGAGGACTCGGCGGACAATGCGACGTGCCCACCATCCAGAGTGATTCATGGAACTCCTACCACCGCAAAGCAGCGGAGAAGTTGTCCACAGGATCGACCTCTGGGACACGCTCAGGAGCGCCACATGGACTCCTTTCCAAAGGGGCCTTGATGCCAGCGAAAGTCGGGTGAGCACAAAGTTACACCCCAACAATCGTCGATCAAGATGAAGTCAGAAGGCTCCTTGTCACCCAGCTTGCCGGGACCCTTGCTCCACCTAAGCTACTCTCTTCCATGTGTTTTTGCATTCCTTTTGAGGATTTAGCGGGTGCGAAACCTGGATGCTGGAACCGTTATCAAGACCGGTCGCACAGGTGTCGGATTGCATGGCAGTGTGTCTGTTGTAAGTGTCCATAGCGCTTCCCGAGACCGCAATGGCCTGCGAGACAGAGCTAATCAGGACCCGGCGAAGAACACATTGTCGAGATGTTACATTGGCGTTGAGCGCCTTCTGAGCCCGACAGGGACCTGCGTATGGATGTGGCGATGGTCGGCATCAACACATCAGCGCAGGACATAGGACATTCAATTCATGTATCATCTGATTTCACCACACTGAGACTGTCATTGGCTCCAAGAGGCTCCATCTAGTCTTCGCTCTTGGATTGCACCTTTTTGGGCCCAAACACCATGCTATGCTATCATATCAACAGCGTCTCTATTGGACCGCCGCACATCTATCTCAAAGCGCTCTCAATCTCTCCAACGACCGCCCGGAACCTGGGCTCTTCTAAATACCTCCCCTCCTTCAGCTTCCTCAACACCACAGGAACATCAAAGACCTCCTTCGCGGCAGACTTCAACTCCCCGCGCGAAAATCCGACCAGAATGGTCCCTAATGCCACGAGGGAGCGATATGCCGGTTCCGTGGATTGCGAAGCAGGGTTACTGGAGGACGAAGAGTGATTCACGGCAGGGAAAGAAAGGAGGAGTTTTGAAAGCTCTCCTAACAGGTCGAGGGCGTAGTTTGCGTTCTTGTCGGCGTCGCCGGGAGCAGTGGAAGAGGTGGTTAGAACAGCAATGTTGAGATATAGAGTCGTAAGCGCTATGGCCACTGAAACATCGGAAGAAGCGAATCGCGTAAGTGGTTTCAGGCTCTCAATGATGTTGTCAACGTTTTCCTTCACAATTTCCCTTCCGCCAGGTGAACCGTACAGAAGATTTGAAAAGAACCGCATGGCAATCATGGCTAGTTTGTTGTTCGTGCGGACAAAGGAGTCATCGAAGATGCCACTTCCGAGAATCCCAGCGACTGCATCGACGACCTCAACCTCTTCGGCCGGAAAGTCCTTTGCCGCGGCGGCAATGAAGCGGAGAAGATCCAGACCCGCAAGGCGGTTTGCAGGCGGTTGCCATTGCGTGGCTATCTTCATTAGGGCAGGGATGGAGGATCTGAGGGAGGGAGAGCTAGGTAGTGATGGAGGGCTCGAGAAGTTGTATTTCTCTAGCTGTTGAGCGACATCTGTTAGTGCGTGGACTTCTTCAGGTTGAAGACTCATTTCGTTGCCCGCATATTCGGTGTTTTTCTTGTTGATTTGCGCCATAGCGGCAGAGGGCTTCCCAATAACGACAGGAAGGTACTCTTTTTGAGGCAGCGTTCGCTTGACAGGCGCGGCTGGTGGCGGCTGATATGAAGAGGACGGGGCATCGCCAGGTCTGTACCGTTTCTCCGTACCCCAGGGATCAGCTCCTGCGGGCGCTGATTGCCCAAGGGTAGCACCCTGGGTGTTTTTGATGATAAAGTTTGCCGTCTCTTCGAGGTAGGACAAGGGGAGTTCATGGTCTTGAAGGAACTTTGTGGCTGCCTCGTAAGGGTTCTGGGTGACATTGTATGGCAGCTTCAGTGGAGGTTTCCCATCCTCAATGTCAATGTCAAACACGTAGTCGTATTCTTTACCATTATATGCCGTCTTCCCACTCGAGGCAGCAGAATCCACAACCTGGCCGATTTTGAGCCACTGCTGCTGGGACATGGACCATTGATACAGACAGGCACTGCCATCATCTTCTTTGATGATCTGATTTTGACCTTCTTTGGTGCCAGATTTTCGTTTGAGGAAATCAGGACCAGGGAGATCTGTCATATTGATTTGCCCGACTGTCTGTTGGGGAATGCTAGATGCTTGAAGAGACTCCTCGAAAGCAGCAAGAGTCTCCGCATTGGCCACCCTCTCCTGGCTGCGGGTGAATATGCGCGCCACGTGGTCGCTTGAACCGACGATGATATCGCCATTTGAACAGGTAGACACCGTCCAGACGGAAATGGCCGGTAACGTAATAACCTGGATGCAGTTCTCCCCCTCCCAGATGCGGACGGATCGATCTTCTCCAGAGCTGACAATTTGGCCTGAAGGAAGAACGGCCAGGGAGTATATAAAAGATTCATGGCCAATTAAAGAGGCAATGAGCTCGCCCGTCAGGTTCCAGAGACGGATGATGCCATCATTTGTCGCCGCAGCAATTTCAGCGCCAGTGTAGTGACCTCTGGGCAGCTTTGCCAGAGCGCGAACAATGTCCTGGCCATCCCAAGAATTTACCATCTTTCCCCGTACATCAAAGACTCGGATTGCACGATCAGCACAGCCGGTGACGATTGTGTCTCTGCTAAAAGCGAGCACCGCCCAAACTGTGGCGGTGTGGCCCGTCAGTTCATAAGCAACTTCCCATCTGCCAATCTCCCAGACTTTTGCAGTGGCATCCCAACTGCCACTCACAAAGTAATTCGCTATTGCGCACACATCTATCGAGCACACCTGATTGCTGTGTCCTACCATGAAAGCATCTGCGTTTATGTCGGTTGTTGACGAAGGCTGTCGAGCTTCAATGAGCGCATCTTGGCCGGACGAAAGAATCAGACCGTCCTCGTACTCTTTCGAAGGAGGGATATAGGCAAGACAGGTCTTGAACTGTGCGCCGTGGGATGATTCGGTATCTTCGAAGGTGGGCGGGGAAGTGGATGTGCGCTTCCAGACTCTAGTTGAGCCATCGCGAGATGCTGTTACTGCAAAAGAGGGATCAGGGAGTAGGACGGCCCGAACCTATGCTATCATGTGAGTGTGCGAGGTAGTGGACGGGCTCAAGATGCCTACATCACTTTTATGGCCTTGCAAGACGGCACTCAGCTTGAACTCTGTCGTCGTTCCACTCATTTTGGTCATTGACTAGGTGCAGAGATCATCTGGAAAGCCAGCGACAGACAAAAGAACAAAGGGTGCGGCGCTGTCGTGGTCAGTGCATGAATCGTGCACATAGTCACCTGTTTGTCACTTCTGAGGCACAAATCCACCGTTCAATTCTCACAGCCTTGCGTATGACGTAACAGGGTTCAGCCTCGTCAGGTGTGCCACGAGCCGCCACTATTTACCTCCAAACTTGGATTGACGACAGTATGATGTATTTTATATAGATTGATAGGCAGCTATTGAGAGCTCTCAACGTGCCGAGTTTTGTTCATCCATTCAGGTTCCGCGCAAAGCTGAAGAGATTCCAACTTGTTCACACGCTGGGCGCTGGAAGCATTTCTCCAGAACAATGCCAGCAGTATCACGACTGGGTAGAAAGAAGCGCTGGCATCACAAAGACTTCAACGGCTGCATAAAGTGCAAACAGAGGCGCGTCAAGTGTGGGTCAGAAAAGCCAGCCTGTGTAAGATGCCAGAAATTGGGAGTTGTCTGTCCTGGATATCAACCGCGAAAAGCCCGCCTTTTTGAGTTCAGGCCCAAGTACAGCTTCCAATACGATGAGGACAGGGCCAACTACGATTACTTCCTCACAACTGGGTCGAAAGTCGTGGCACTGTCCCAAGCAACTTCTGAGCCGTTCTGGACTAGGCTTGTCCCTCAGCTGGCCGAGAATAATGCGGTTATCAGACACGGTCTGATCGCCCTCGGCGCGCTCTTACGGCCTTTACATGCAAAGTCATCTTCTCGGAGGCGCGAGTTTCTTTGTATACCACAAGCTGCTGCCAAACACTCAGCATCAGCAATGCATCAATTGAGGTCAGCGGCCCCGGGATCTCTATCGCCAGAGATGTCAATCGCATGCTCTCTCGTCTTGGCCGAACTTGACAAGTGGATGGAAAAGGAGACGTCTCCTGTACTTCAAATCATGTCAGCCCACCGTTTTCTAAAACACAAAAGTATGGCCACCGTGCCAGTTTTAAACACAACCAAGGATGGGTTCCACCAACTGTTCGAACCGATGGTTGATGAATTACTCGTCGATGCATGTAGTTCTTTGGACAATTTTCCAACCCTGGCTTCTGGGCTGATGTCAAACTATCAGCTTGCCAACGGTCTAGACAGAATCAATTCTATCACAACTTATATGGATGCCCTTCATGGCATTGCGTCACTCCTAAAAGCGGTTTTCCGCTCAACCTGCCCTTACATCGTCGCCACCGCGGTCGAGATGGATAACATCTCGTTCACAATGGACACAGTCGGCCACAAATTACAACATCTTGATTGTAGGAGCGACCTTCCGGTGGAACATAGACTTCTCCAGGTCCACCACCGAGTTGCCCGCATCGTGTTCTACACGCTGGGACGGAACGATGAATGGATCTATGACCTTTTCCATCGCGACTTCTGTTTTATCGTCAAACAAACGGTGCTGCTCATGACATCCTTAAGGAGCACGCCACCAATGATCATGGGACAAACTACCTTTACACCAACTTTGGGCTTGATTCCCCCTCTGTTCTTAGTAGCAACCAAATGCCGCGACTCGCACATTCGCGGACAAGCATTGCAAATGCTCCACAGCGTATTGCGGAATGAAAGGGGCTGGACAAGTTGCATGGCAGCTACGATCAGCCGATTTGTGATTCAGAAAGAGCTTCAGTCGTGCGTGACACCACAGACCGTTGAAACCCTCCGGGGAAAGTCAATTATTCTCCAGCGCCCTGAACAGCGGATCAAACTGGACGAAGTGGAGTTCTCTAACCATGACAACAAGATATACCTGGCATACACGGTTTGCTCCAAAGCCCCCAACGGTTCTGTGGGCAGAAAGTGCATTGCAAGCATTCCCTATTTGTCTCACCCTTCCGTCGAGAAGAACAGCACAACAACATGTCAACTGTCAAGAAAAGTCCTGCGACACTGTGGATATACAGGCATTATTCTGTTCTCGCCGCAGATTGATTGCCATTGCATTCAATGCGACGTCTACAGTGCTGCTGAATAGATTGGATAAAACAGTGCGGACGTCGTTAGCAAATGGTTCGAGAGAACCCCTAATAAACTCAAAGTTTACTTGCCTTTCCAGCGGATGAGTCTTCTCTGGGATTTCTCGGTCGGCAAGAAGAGAAAATGGCGGAACTCGAGTGAGTCAAGACATCGTGCTGAGACCAATAGGTGCACAAGATACTGTGCCGGCCATGGTGTTAGGTTTGGAAAAGTTCGTCACTGCCTGGTCTTCCGGGTCAAGGCTCCAGATACGAGGTCCTGAGCGTGCCATTCATGTCCTGAACCGCTGCATACGTCGGGGGAGCGAGAAACAAACTATCTGGAAGCTGACTTTGGGTATTCAAGAGAGCAACGCTCGCTACTCCCTAAGGAGCTATAAGGGCACCAAGGAACTATGGCACTATCCTCGCGTACACATACTAGGCCAGATAATGCAGGTATGGAAACGAGAAACACTCGTTAACTACGCATCGAATACGTATCCCCATCGCCTCCGTCGCCGCATCTCTAATTGCACGGTTGTCGGTACCCATTTGCTCAAATAGTGGTATCGCTCTGCCCTCGGCTTTTCCGTGGCCCATGTCCCATGCCCGGAGAAGTAGCATTCCTTAGTAGCGTCCGTCAGTCATGGTTCGAGATTTGACGACTGCCTTAGCAATATCGCTTAGACCAACATGACTTGGTCCTCTGGCGAATGCGTAGAAAGTGCTTCGCCGTGCATGATGCCATGGACGTAGCACTCGCCAACCACCTGGTAATTGTGATCGTGGCCGTCGTCGCGCTTGCGAAGCAGAAAGGGTACCGCGCAGCCGTAGAAGACGGCAATGACGTCCCCCTCGTGAGCGGTCCGGGGAATAATGCCCACTCGCTTTCCCAGAGTAGTGCAGGCCATGGCAGGCGAGAGGATCTCAGCAAAGTCCATGGCGGTGTTCAAATACGGCCACAACTGTTGCAGCAGGATGTCGAGCTGGCGCAACGGGAGCGGGTTGGTGGCGTTGACGCGGATCTTGCGCTGCTCCCGTTTCCAGCTGTCGTCTTGGCCTTCTTCAAACTCCAGATACTCGGCCATGGCTCGAAAGGATGCGCGCCCGGCGTCGTCGCCCCAGTCGCCCTTGGTGGGCTTTGTCGCGGCTCCAATCGGCACTTTCCACTTGAGATTCTGACGCTCTTCGGCCGTGTCGGCGGGCAGATCATCGATGAAAGCAAATATTTCACCAAGATAACGTCTCATATCGGTCGTGCTCGTCCATTTTCCAATCTTGGCCACCGAGTCGACAACTTGACCTCGAACCGTCAAGATGTCTCTGGATATCTGCATTTCAGCAGTCTTGTCTGTCCCCGCGCGAAAGTGACCGGCACCGGCCCAGTTTGATATCGTCTCTGGATATGCTGTTGGCGACGCCCAGCTGGGGATCCACGACGGGAGACTGGATTTGCCAGGAGTGGCTGAAAGCCTAGCTTGGTACAGAAGGTCTATGCCCCGACCTTGCTCCTCCACGAATACTTTGGCGTACTGGAGGACGACATCTTTGAAACGAGACTTGTAGTCCGGTCTGAAGCCCTTGTTGGTTCCATCTTTGGCCAGACTCAGCAGCGCAAAGAGCTTATCGCGTCTACTAGTCGATTCGGTCAGCTTGAACACCCGGAGAAGGGTGTGCAAGTCTTGTCGAGCCTCGGGGCCTCCCTCCTCATACGAGGTCTTGAATTCTCCCAGACTTACAATGGCGGTTAAATGGCCATTTTTGGGAAAGACGACCGAAAGTTGTGACTTGGAAGCTTGGTCATCGCAGTATTTGGCGGCGTCATAGAACTGCCTCCACGGAATTCGGTCGTCGCCGCAGACCAGAGTCAATTGGGAGGCAAGAATAACCTCTTGAACAATCCACACCCGGCGAAACCATTTTCTCCTAAAGAGTTTGCTGATTGCCACCCACGACGAGTCTTCCACCGGCGGAATCTCATCTCGCCCCGGTGACCGAGAAACCTCTTCCTCTGCGCCGAAGCTCGCGGAGATGTTGCGTAAGGCTTGAATGGCTAGGCTGCTCTCGGAATCTCCCTGTCCCAACCATGCATACACATGAACCGCCGATCTGAATATGTCCTGCATCAGACGGACCTGATGTTCTTTCTCATCGTTATCGTTCTGATTGATGCTTATCGCATCTGCCCAGATATCAATTGATCGGTCGGTTCTTCGGATCTGCTGAAGACCAAGGTACAAAGATAAGGTCAACGGGATGACCCCATCCATCGTTTTCAACTTGAATTGTTGCAGCTTGCTGCCCCATGCGTACGATATGGCCAAGTATTTCGGATTGTCGTCCAATGATACGTGTTGAAGCGTTCCGCTGAGTTCCTGATTTCCATGTCCTGCGGAGAGCCGAAGGAGGCGTATGGATCTTTCGTGCTTTAGGGGCTTCCACCTGTACAAGCGCTTTTCGGTGGGTTGAGTATAGTCACTTGCCTGAGTCAATAGAATGTCCATACCCGCCCCTCCTTCTGATTGTCCCGTAAGCAATATATGCGGCCGGGCTCTCTCGATATTGGCCGTGTATGCACTTGTCACATGAAAATCAATGCGACCAGCGTTGTACAGTCTCCATGGGTCGACGAAAAATGAAATGCCGGGAATCATATTAATGTCGTGAATTCTGATTAGAATAAAGACATCATCTGGTGGCAGTTTCGATATTCTGTGTTTTCGGGCCTGTTTGGTGGCTCTGAATTAGCATGCATGTGGGAACAGTGCTGCTTCAGCGGTGCAACCCGTGCACATGGGTCCGGGAAACCTACTAGGTCAACCTTGGCCGAGCTCATGGTAAACTTTGAGTGAAGGCCTCCAGTACTCGTTTGAACCTCGATGTGATAAACCGGCCGGTGGTCCCTCCACGCTTCAGCGGCCTTGTATGAATTTCGAACAAGTAGTTCCGTCAATGGCCTTGTGTCACCATCAACTGTGAAGGTTGTGGTCTCTTCGACAGAGGTTTCGAAAGGAGAATGGTTCAACTGCCTTCGCATGGGGCTCGTCCAATGCCGATCTGGCTGATATGCATCACCCAGGACGTCTGCCAGCAGTCGAGAGATCTATACAATGACCAAGTCAGCATACAGTGTACGTATAGATCACCTAAACTCTGCGCTTGCAGGATCCGTACCTTTACTTCTCCCAGCAACATCGGCTCAGGGTCAATAATATTGCCAGGTTCAAGCGCAATGTAAAGGACACGTTCTCCATTCTTCGTAATCTGGAGGCGTGCAGGGAGACTTCGTACGCCGCGAAGATTTCCCGTTCCGGAGTCGACCTGGGGAAGTTCCTCTGGGGTAGGTAGATATATGATGTCGTTCAGTCCAGTCAATCGGAGCCCTTTGCTTCTCTCCAGAACCCGATTCAACACCAGAAGTTTATCTGATCCCTGTTTTCTTCCTTTGGCTCTTACTGCGGCCGAAGCTGCTTGAGCTATTGATTCTGGTGACACTTGCTCGAGAAGATGTGCTGGAGCAAGGGGTACAGGATCCTGTGGCCAGAACAGGGTTTCAGTGTGGCTTCGAAGGCCCTGTCCAGCGGTATATTCGACAGCCTCTTCTCGCCGTTCCTGTTTTTTCATGTTCGAGATGCCTTGCGCAATTTCATTTAGCGGTAACAGATAGTCCAGCTTAGGAGAAGCCTCAACTAATGGACGGACAGCAGAATAATCCTCGCTTGCAGTGGCAATGTGGGACTCCTTTTCAGTGTCATCCTGCATTGGCTTGACTTGAGAATCATCTATGTCTTTGTTACCAATTCTCGATAGACCCTCTTGGAGCATCGCTGTTTTCTTTTTAGGACTGGTAATTTCGTCCTCCTCCTCCAACTCAGTTGGCGTTGAGAGATTTCCTCTGTAAGGGCTTGGCTTGGATGGACTGGATGTTGAAGTTGACTTCGAACGGTCTTGGGCCGGAGATGTGCTGTGGTGCTTCCCGGATTTCACGGGCTTTCGACTTGCCTTCGTCCTGTCCGCGATACCCTCGAATGCTGAAGAGACTTCCTTGGACCGCTCAGGTGTTCGCGGAAAGAGACGATGTGCAGGAAGTGATGTTCCCGGTGTATCCTGATCTATCGCCACTTAGCAGTACGACACCGTATTTCTGAATCTCTGACTAACCATAGCTTTCCAGTTCTTGAATGTCCACAAGGTGAACATCGTGTCCATCCAAGTAGTCTTCGATTTTCCTTGGGTCGCTGTATACCAGAATGACCCACAGTCGCATCCTTGCAGCTTCCGGTATCCCAAGGTATATTAATAGCTGTTCTGACAACTGCTCAAAGAGCTCTGGACTGAAAAACGGCATCTCTATCTCTCGGTTTGTTAGGTATATGCGCAGAGAATCGTCCTTGTTGACAGTTATCGCTGCACGACTCTGACTAGATTCAATGGTTAAATCGCTTCCAGACACTGTCACAATCAATTCTGTTGCTATTTCGTCCACGCCATAGACCTTGATCTCCTTCAACCTTTTCCATAACCACCTTCGACGATCTGGGATCAAACTGGTTGGGATTGTTAGTATAGGTCGGCCTGAAAAGAATCAACAATCGACAATTCCATGTTGTCTTCCACTGGCGAGCTGAAGTGAAAAATAAATGGCACACTCAAAGTCCTTCGCTGATAGAACGGAAGCAGCCTTCGTCGGTAATCAGCATTCCGTTTACTTCGGAAATAGAGGTACTCTCTCCTCTACCTGCGCTGCAACGTTCGATATGCCGACCACCTTGTTGCTGTTGAGCCTCTTTGGCTACATTGGATGCAGCGTGCATTTTGGGTCAGATGTATCACTTATTTTTCAATTCGGCTTGCAGGCAATACTGTGAAAGACATCCGCAAACATCACAGCGACGAGGCAAAAAGGAGCTGGAAATGGACCCTGAAGATGATGCCAACTTACCAAGCAATGAACCTCGCTTTTGCGCTCAGGGTGTCTGTATGATCTTTACAGAACCAAATGTTTCCCGTGATTTCGACTTTTCGCCGCGCATTGCGAGAGACAAAATGCTGATAGATTTCAAGGGTCCGAACTAGTTTCTCTAGCCTCTGTATTCCTTGCCCTGGCAACGCAAGTAAGGGGATTTTGCCGCTCAGTTTGCGGGCGAGACTTTGGTTGTCTGCCATGAACCATTCATCCATCAGTGATAGGAAGGTTGGTTTCTCGGATCCCATCTGCTTCACTGGGAAGATGGCACAGCCCCGAAGAGATCGAACTGAATCTAGTGCTTCTGCCGAGTCATCAAGCACTAGGAGCGTATTGATCATTTGCAGAAGCCGGGATACATAATCAGGTTGGTCGTCGGAAGTAATGCTTCTTGCTTCAGCGACGAAAGTATCCAAGCCTGCATTTCTGATGTCCAGGACCTGAGAGAAGAGCCTCGCATAACTTGGGTAAATACAGTCAAGACTGTGAATCCTCCTCAAAGAGTCTTGACCCTTCCATACGCACTCCTTGACGGCTGCCCAACGATGGGGACGCCCATTGCGAGGGGGGATATAGATGAGACTATCTTGCATGAAAGTTTCTCTGCGAGTCAGTCAATCAGTCAGTCAGTTAGCTAGCCAGCAATAATTTTGAGGACCGGAGTTGGCTAGGCCACTCACTTGGTGGAGCGAAGATCTGTGTCGATGGTCTCTTGAATTTTGCCGTACAGCTGCAAATACTTCTCTGGCTGTCCCTTCTGTTTCACCATCCTCAGGCATTGGAGATAGTGATTTACATCACATTTCATCGTAACGCCAAGCTGTTCCAGGAATGACCAAGAAGGGTTTGAAGAGTTTGGAATATCCAGTAATGGAAGCGAATCACTGCCTTCCACTCCACTCAGGTCTCCTGCAGGAAAAATTGTCTCCTTGAGAGAATAACGACTCCCGTTGATACAATCCACTTCGGTGGACATTAAACACTCGCGTAGAGCCTTTTTGGACAGTATCCAGTCCTGCGGATAATTCAAATCTTCGTCTGATCCGAGCCATTCCGAATACGTTTGCCAATGATCCCTTAAGAGCTGTAGGAACTCCCCGGATGGTAGGCCTTCCAAGATGCGTTTCATGTCCTCTGACAGTTCAAATCCCTCGCCAACCATCCGGACTAGACGCGGGAACTCGCAGATTCGTAGCTGATCTTTCAACCAGTGCGTCCATTGGAGTTCGCGCCCCGCCGTAGCAAGCCAGTAATCCTGATGTAGAACTGGAAAGGCGAACTTCCGACCATTCGGCGCGAAGGAACGAAGATAGACCTCTGACGAACGACGATACCCAGACCCTGTGGCGACCCAGAGATCTACATCATCAAGGTTGCTCCATCCAGACGTAAATAGGAAGACCAGATGATCCACTAAGTCACTCTGTTGAATCATAACAGAAGACAGAGTGTGCAAACGCACAACGAAAGAGGATATCTCAGTTGGGGAAAAGGGTTTGGCACCTAGAGATGTGAACAGCCTGCTTCGCTCGGAATCCTTCTCAGCTTCTGGGTCAACGAAAAGCACCTCAGTACCTTTCGGAACAAGTGTTGTATCGTCTGTTGGGAGATAGAAGAGCTTGTCTTTGCTTTCAACGCGTGACGTCCACTCGCCATTACTCAGCGGTATTATCTTGAGGGTAGCTAATCGGTTCGGAGCCTTGTAATCATAAAGCCATAGGACATGGGCCAGTCTGGAAAACCATTGTGGCGATTGGGTCCGGAATTTCTTTTCCTCTTTTTCCATGAATTTTTCTAAGTCGGTCACGAAGTCACCATACTCCAATTCTTTGATGCCAAGGTGCTCTAGTGTCTCAGACCGAAGATGTTTATAACGGCGCGACAAGTATCTTGGTTTTGTGAAGTCGGTTAGAACAAGCGGGGTGTCGTCAAGCCTGTAATACTCCCCGACATATACAAGACCCAGCGGTTCGTGCATCTCACCATCCTCACCTTCAAAGGACTCCGTTTCTTTGAGCTTTTCCTGGATTTCTCCTGCCACAGGTTGGAAGAAATCTCGAGTTTCGAGCGGGAGAAATCTTGGCCAGGTGTAACGGAAGGATGTCGTGTTGAAATAGTTAACGGCGTTTACAAATGCACCTGAGACAAAGTCACGGATTTTAATATTCCAGGCGGACGACACGTCGATATCCTCACGATTGGCGATGAGGACAAAGTTTGCTTGGATTGCAAACTGTATGCGATCAGCATTCAAACAGCCCTTGGAGATCAATAGTGTTGGAATGCTCACAGTGAATCCGTACTCTCGGATAGGGAGAAAGGCATACACTGGCTGTGATTTTGCCACTTCAAACCCCGAGACTGGGAAACCCAAAGACACTGAACATTCAGAGAGCCCGGGTCGCTTGGTCTCAAGGGGCATGCCAGGAATCTCAGACTCGATGATCTTGTAACGCAGCATCTCTTTGCCGTCTTCTTCTATGACGAGATCATAAAGCGTGTCGCTAATTCTTTCTTGCCGCCGCGCGAGAGTTCTGGCGTGGTCGACCCTTCTGTGTAGCTCTATTCTCTCTACTTTCCTCAGAAAGGGCAAAAGTGTCGGGTCAAACTCCATCACCCTCTCAATTTCGGCCCTGCCATATTGCCAGAGGTGGAGGTATATGGTCGAATACCCGTCAAGCAGGCTGACAGGAAATTCCTCTGCCCATTCTGGTGCAATCATCCCAAGCTTTTTCTTCTTGTCGAATTTGAAGGAATACGCGCGTGAAGCAATCCACACAGTGTCTGCCACTTTGAATACAGCCTTGAACCCCAGTCCTTTCTCACCAGTCGTATCGGACGTACCGGCTTTGTTGCTAGCTCCAGCACTACAGACTGCCGTGACATCTTTGTCCGTGAAGCCCACCTCGTTAGAGTCAATGCGAAAGCTATCTTCTGTGCAAGTGAGCTTCAGGGTCGGTGTGGGGTGTTCATAGTTGTTGTCATCAGCGTTTTGTAGGATTTCGAGGAGAAAATGGGTTGACTCTCGGTAGAGCTGTGTTGCTACACTGGGCTGCGTTCAGTATCACCCCCCTCTCACAGCGACGGGCCATTTGTCGAGGGCAACTGTACATGTTGAGTAGATTTTCTAGTTCATCAGTCCGACGGTCTGGATTGTCGACATTCAGACTCGCTCTTATCTCCTCAATATGACGCCTCGCCGCGATACGGTCAGCCAAAGATGCCATGGTTGCCTCTTTTGTCAACGAGGAGCTACCCACATTGACAACTAGGGTTTAACGGTACTCAATCAACCCAAGTAGTTCATGGGGAATAAAAGCGGACTTTCTGGATATGCCGGACTCTGGAAAGACCGGTTCTGAAGGACTAGGCTGTGCATATGCTAGCCCGCTGTTCCGCGTTGCGCTGTCAAGCAGGCCACGTGGGGCCACTCAAGCTCGTCAAATAGCAGTGGAAAACAATGGGAATTGTTTCCTCGGTGTTGTTATTGAGCGATTGTACCAAGTATAGCGCTTGCGTTTCCGTGACCTCTTCGATGATGCTGGGATCGTGCAATAGTAGTCTTTGCTTCGGCGCAAATAATCCGTTAATGGGCGCTCGTCTCCCAGTGAATCTGAATCGTAGCCGTCTGGAGGGTGTGGCCTTGCTCAACGCCTCTCCGGTCTGTACCGAGTAAGTTGAACCCTTTCTTAAGTTCCTCCTCCCAAGAGCGAGGTCAACATTAATGGCCAGCTTGATAGTTACAGCCTGTGTTATATTTTTGAACTTCGCTTGGCGGACTCGGCTTGTCGGTTCCACGACGCGTCTGTTTCTTTCTGCCACGGAACGAGACCTTCCGGATCACGCCTCCAATCAAGATGTGTGTCGCTGTGATTTGGGTCAATCCCCTACACCCATCGTCCTTTAGTTATCCCGACACTCTGGCTAGACATTTATGTCCTTCAGATTCAACCTTCAGAATCAACTGAGGAAGGATAGAAATGGGTTCCGTAGGGCAAGGGAAATTCTCCTTTCCTTGGAAATTGACCATCGGGCTGCTCATCGTCGCCCTGTTGACAAGCCTGTGCACTTGGGCAGATTCCGTCAAGGTACAGAGGTGATGATCCATCTCATCGTTGTGTCTGCTAATTCCATCACACCGCAGTCCAAATGGTACATGTTTGACCCTGTGGAGCTGCAGAAGCTGGTCGACGAAAGCCTAGAACGCTATCCAACGTCAACGGCGGGAGTAGTGCACCATATTGTCACAAAGCTTCGGGAACAACATGGATCAGCTTTGATCAGCAAGGATCCGTTCCCCCATGCTGCCCAGAACAGCACCGAGATCTCACCCATCTCAGCCTACCCGTCGCAATGGGTCTTCAACAATGCCGGGGGGGCAATGGGAAGCATGTACATTATTCATGCAAGCATAACCGAGTATCTGATCATCTTCGGCACGGCCCTTGGGACTGAAGGCCACACCGGCCGACATACAGCCGACGACTACTTTTTCATCCTCGAGGGCGAGCAGTGGGCGTATCCCGCACATTCATTGGCCCTCGAACGCTACCCGCAAGGAAGCATGCACCATCTTCGCAGAGGCCATGTCAAGCAGTACAAAATGCATCGCGGGTGTTTTGCCCTTGAACTTGCTCAAGGTTGGATTCCACCTATGCTTCCATTTGGGCTGGTAGATACCATGTTCTCCACGTTGGATTTCCCTACATTTGGCAATACAGTATGGTTGACGGCGCAAAAGATGGTGGGTTGTCTCCTGGCGGGCAAGATCTAGATCGAGAGCCGTGAGACCCCGCACAAAAAAAAACATTTTCAGAACGGCGCCTCCGCCTTGCATGGACCTGGGATGGACGACGCGCAACGATACCATGGTTCCTTGTCTCAACAGGTTCCGAGTTGCGCTCATATTCAGTTCTGGCGGCCACGAATTCGATAATCCGCGCTTTGTCCAATGGGTTCCCGTCGATCCGACATTGTTTCATCTCCTATGATTCAATAATCTCAAACCCCTCACACCCTTGGGACTCACCTCTAGTTTCGTGGACGAATGCACTCTTAGCACCGCGAAGGTGATTGATGGGATGAGAGTTTAATTTTGTGAATTGACAAGTCAGAAACAAGGATTTCGGTCGCCTTTTTGCGGACAGCCACCAACGAACCGGCGCAATATCACACACAGCACCCTCATCACCTGACAGACTATGTGTTTCCAAGAAATTCATATTGCTATCGAGTCAGTTGTGTACTAGTCCGCGTATGGCTCACCCACCCATGGAGGAGATATAGAAATTGGTAGCCGCAATGTCAACATCCAGAAGGCCATTTTGACTCCGCATCCATTCTATATGCTGTTTCCCCTACATTAACTAGCTGGTGGTCTGCCCACGACATTAGCCAGCATTGCACATACAAAGACTCTGCGGCAAGCCGTCGTATTGGTCGACGATTCTTGGAGCGCCAAAGGCGCTTTTCCCGCATGGGATTTACGAGGCACCAGTGCAAGAGTGCACTGTCCAAATCCAAGTTGCAATACCAGCCCAGTATGTGAGCCAGCCATCGACAGGACCTACCACACGTGTGCTGGAAGGGAAATGAATTACCCTGGACGCCCGGGTACGTAAGTAAATGATGAGCAGCAGTGAAATTGGCATTCCCCCCACCACAACCTCTGCTCAAGCCGCAATCTCGCAACTGCTCCAAGAATCTCGTCTTCCCCCACCAATCATTGCCGCCTCAACCACCATATCCTTTCCGAACACAGGGACTTCGGCTTCACTTCAGGCTTCTTGCCAATCTAGACTCTTGAAGAGGTACCATTGGTTTGTGCAGAAGGAACGGAGATACGACATTGCTTTTGCTGCGTCCCATCGCATACTCTGACGGTCCAAGGAGCTCTGCTGATTCCAAACTCTCAAATAGAAACGCTGCCCCCTTCCATCAACAGCGTGTCGACTGACCACTGACCAGGTCGTCCTTAACCATCCTTGGCTTCGAGCCGTCCTCTCGCTTCTTTCGCTCTTCGATTCGTTCGTCATGAAGTATACCGATGTTCTTTTGCGTCTTGGCGCAGCCTGCCTTTCGTTCTCATTTGCATCCGCACAGACAATTGCCCAGATCAATGGCAACAGATTCATCTCCCCGTACCGCAACCAGAATGTCTACAATGTCACGGGTCTAGTCACTGCCATCGGCCCAAGCGGGCTGTGGATTCGCTCTACCACCCCAGACTCGGACATTCGCACCTCAGAGTCCGTCTATGTTTTTGGCCGTATCTCCACCAATGTGACGTTGACCACAGGAGATGTCATTGTGCTCGATGGGATTGTTTCTGAGTATCGCTCTAACTCAGCATATCTTTATATGACAGAGATCTCTCGACCTACCAACGTCAAGGTCATATCCCGGGGAAATGCGGTGAACCCGGTCATTCTGGGGAAAAAAGATACTGGCCCGCCCACTGAGCAGTTCACCTCACTCGACAACGGTGATCTCTTTGGTGTACCCAACAATGTTAGCCTTGTCTCTGTGGCGAACCCTGTGCTACAGCCATGGGCATATGGCCTTGACTTCTGGGAGAGTCTGCTGGGCGAACTGGTTACTGTTGAAAGCCCTAGCGCTGTTGGCAAGCCGAATTCATACAACGAGACATGGGTAGTGGGGAACTGGAGAAAGACTGGAAAGAACAATAGAGGAGGCTTGACCTTGACTCCCGGAGATGGCAATCCGGAAGCCATCGTTGTTGGTGCCCCTCTTGACGGCTCTATTAACCCAGACGACATCAAGCTAGGGGATGACTTGGAAGATATCACCGGAGTCGTGTACCAGGAGTTCGTCGCCTACTACATCCTTCCATTGACGGCGCTTTCTATCATTGACTCAAAACAGCCCCCATTGCCAAATCCAATCAACTGGAATTCGCAGGGTAGCTGCAAGAAAATTACGGTTGGCCAGTACAATGTTGAGAATCTGGCTTCAAACTCCACCACCCTGCCGGGCATCGCTTATCATATTGCCCACTATCTCAACTCCCCGGACCTGATGTTCTTGCAAGAAATTCAAGACAACAGTGGTCCAACGGACGACGGCGTCGTCGCCGCGAATGTCACGCTAGAGATGCTCGTGACGGCCATCAAAGACGCTGGCGGAGGGTCTTATAATTACCTCGACATTGACCCCGTCAATGACCAAGACGGCGGCCAACCTGGCGGCAACATTCGTGTCGCCTACCTCTACAATCCGGGTGTCCTTAACCTCAAGAATCCCAACCCAGGCTCCTCCCTTGACGCCAATGAAGTCCTCCCCGGCCCTTCATTGAAATACAACCCAGGCCGCATCGATCCCACAAATCCAGCGTGGCAGGACAGTCGCAAACCACTTGCCGCACAGTGGGAAACAGTCAGAGATAAATCTACCCTGTTCACTGTGGTCGTGCACTTCACATCCAAAGACGGCAGCTCCTCAATCGAAGGCGACCCGCGCCCACCCGTCAACCTCGGCGTAAACCAGCGCACAGCCCAAGCAAATGTGACTGGGACCTTCGTCGCTCAGATCTTGGCTCAAGATCCCCAGGCCGCCGTCGTCGTCGCAGGAGATTTCAACGAATACACATTCGTCGAGCCGCTGGAGACGTTCACCGCGGTCTCTGGGCTCGTGAATTTGGACGACGCTGCGGGTATTGCGCCTACCGAGCGGTACACATATGTTTTTGACATGAGCTGTGAGGAACTGGACCACATGTTCGTGAGTCCCAAGATTGCGGGCACCCCTGGGGAAAGGCCAGATCTCAGGCATGTGCATGTGAACACGTGGGTGACATATGCCGATCAGAGGTCGGATCATGATCCAAGTGTGGCGAGGTTGAATATTTGCTAGACCCCACAAGTTTGCTTTGGCTTCAAGTCGGTTGTTTTCGAGGCATGGGATTCCTGGACAATTTCTTAAAGACCTGCATCTCCACCACAGATGGGAGATCCTTCCGGCAATTCTGCGACCGAGTGAATATGAACTGGCGGCTTTGACAGCATTCAGATTGAACGAACAAAGTACCACTTAGAGAGGTAGGTAACGTAGGTGAAACGTTCTCAATGAAGACGAAGTAGTAATATGGCTAATAATATGGGATTAATGACAGAGCACCGCTATTTATTGTGAATCAAGGTACCTTTGGATCTACTAATTAGTGAATCACTTTACTCATTTTAGGCCGTGGACTTATTTTTTGGATCTGGCGGATTCTCGCCTGGCCGTACGCTTGAACCTCGGAAAAAGTAGCCTGCCCAAGCCTGCCAAACTATAACAAGGCTGCACACAATCTGCAACCCCCTTAAACGAGAATTCCTCGTAAACTTATTATTATCCTGAAACGGCTCTTTCTTTGTAATCGGACGAAAGTGCGCCATCCTTCAGGCGCCCAATTTCAACGATCGCTTAACAGTATCAGCAAACCGACAAGAGCTGAAAACTAAGCGCACTTTCTTCATTTTCACTCTCCATCTTTCAGCCGCCCTTCTTCTGTTCGCCCTTGGTTCCGGATCCATGGAGCTCCAGTGGACCCTTGTACTATCTGGTCTCGGCCTTTTGCTGTTCGTCTATTTATACCACGTGAATAGGGCAATATCAACCATTCCGCAAGAAGCTGAGACGCTAGCGGGCAAGCCCTGGACAAAAGAAGTGGTTCAAAGCGCATACGAAAAGTGCCGCAGAGAAAGGCCGGATTTCAAGAAGTATCTCCCACCAAAGCAAAACAGACGATATGTCGTGTTTGGAGGATCAGGTAACTGCTGTTCTTGCTGATAAACCAAGCTCTGGGCCTCGAGATCTGACGACTTGAAGGTCTTGTCGGCGGCTGGATCGTTGAGCATCTGATCATGCGAGGTGAAAGCCCTTCGGCAATACGAATCGCGGACCTCCAAGCTCCTCGACGAGAACTAGCAGTTAAATGCCACGTGCCATTCTTGAAGGCCGATGCCACCGATCCGGCCTCCGTGGCCAACGTCTTTACCACTCCCTGGCCAGCCGAAAACGCGAAGTTGCCCCTAACGGTCTTTCATACCGCCGCCTACATTCACGCCGGCTATCGCAAGGCAGATTTCCTCGACAAATTCATGAAAGTCAACGTCGAAGGTACGGAGAACGTGCTCAAAGCAGCGAAAGCGGCAGGTTGTGACATCTTCATCGCAACCTCCTCTTGTAGCGTGGCCATTAAACCTCTCGATTTCTTCATTCCCCCTTGGGAGAAGCACCCGAGGAACTTTGTTCAATTCTCGGACAATGGCGACCCGCCACCACTGAAATTGGAGAACTTCGCAGGTTGTTATGCCTATACGAAGGCCTTGGCGGAGAAATTGGTCAGGGACGCGGACAGCAAAAAAGACTCGTTTAGGACTGGCGCTATCAGACCCGGGCACACGATCTATGGCCACGGGGACAGCAACAGGAACTCAGTGGTGTTTGATTACTTACGGCGCGGAGGACTCCAAACGTTAGTCTACCTCTCATCTCATTCACTCCTCCCGACAATCTCCAGCGGGCGTTGATAGTGTGATGCTCACAACAGATGGCTTACCCCTTTCATCCTACAATACGTCTCTGCGCAGAATGTCTCTCTCGCCCATCTTCTGTACGAAGCTCGCCTGCTCGCCGGCAACGACATCGGGGGCAACGCCTACGCCGTGTGCGATCCGGGCCCACCATTCCGCTACAGTGACCTGTACCGAATGGCCTCTACCCTCGCACACCCCAGCACGCCTATGAGGTGGCCGAAGGTGCCACCTCTCCCACTCATCCTCATCTCCTATCTTGTCGAGGGATACACGCTCCTGCAGCGCCGTTACCTAGGTTTCTTGCCCGAGGTCACAAACTTTGATCTCTCGATGCTTCAACGGGCCATGTTCAATTACTCAACCCTGGTCATCATCTACGATGATTCGCGCGCCAGGAAGGAGTTAGGTTACAACCCGGGCCACGACACGCTGGAGGGCATCTGCTTGCATATGCTCGAGTGGAACGAGAACGTCGAGGCGAGTCTAAAGGCCAAAGGTGAGGTGCAGGAGAAGGCGAACGTTCTGGAGAAGAGCATTCCGTAGCCCCCAACGGTGTCGCGGCGTGAGTAGACAGATAGACGCCCGAGACTTGGCTGGTGGTAACGGGCAAGCCGGGTTCAAAGGTAAGGGGCACAGTCTGTCACGGAATACGTACATCAAGAGTGCTCGAGTAACGCCAAAGCGACCGCTATATCTAATATAATTGACGATGTAGGATGAATGACAGATGGCCACCATTTCCAGGGTAAACGGAATGCTCATTACCAACGAAGGCCACCTCCGTTGTAATAGCAAAGGATACTGATTGGGCTCCTTATTTTTCATTCTCGCCTGCGGGATTTGAACCTGGTCGAAATGACCAACGGAAGGAAATGGAGGGTCAAAAGCACTAAGTCACGAATCCCGGTAGGCCCAGCAAGGGGAGGGGTCCCTCTGCTGGAATACTTCCCCGTCCCCTGTGGCACAATGAAAACCGAATTCCAGCTGGAATGGCAGACTTTGGGGCTGAAGCTCCTCAACAACACTGCTCGTGTCCCGATGCTCTGTCACCTTTACAATGCTCTGCGTATAGTTGACTCAAAGGCGCCTGTCTGGCCGGACATGGAGCTACTCATCCGCAACCAGAGCCCGGGGGCAGTTTTCACGGGTGGCCGCCCTCAGACGCTCGTTCAAGCGCGAAACAGCTTTCTCCTCAGCATTGGAATGTCGGCGACAAGCCTAGCCAAAGACTCTCGCGGAATGCGGCTTAGGAAGGGCAACACTGTGTTGCGACAATATGAACAAGGTCCGATTGCTCGGAACCTCTTCTATCGTTGGATGGGTCGAGAGACGCGGAAGACCAACGAGGCTGCGTACCAGCTGCAGGAGCTACTTTAGCCGCAAATATCAACAAGACTTTGAGCGCAATCTCTATGTGACAACCACATCTCCGGCACACAACCCTACTCACAGAACGGTTATATCACTACAGACTAAGATGGTCTGGACTCTGGCGAGGTTGTCTGATGGCTTCACAGCCGAAATGCCAGCGTTAATGTTTTGACTTCTTCTCTAGGGAGCGACGATGCGTTATCGCTTTTGTACATCTTGCAGAAAGTTTCCGGAAGATGAAAGAAGGCAGCCAGCTCTCTACCAGCCAGGACCAGACAACAGATGTCAGTCCAATTAAAGTGGCGCTGCAAATTTTCGGTGCCTCGGTGGATTCCGTGGTTGCGGCCCGCCGTATTGGTTCGAAAAAATAGGGCCGAGAACAGAGCACGAGGACTGGCGGTGGCAAAGCAGATGAAATCAATGTTGTCGCCGGTTCAGGACGAAGATAGCCAAGCTTACTTGAGTCAGGCTTTGACACTTGTCCGGAATGGACGAATAGGCGAGGTGTTTGGAGAACACATCAAACTTTCTGAAAACGCGCCAGCGGCGGAGGTTTTCAGACCAGTCCGTTCAGTTGTTGAGGTGCTTTTAAGCGAGAAGAAAGGGAACGTCGAACTTGGGAACTTGCGGAGGCTGGTTGGAACGAAGGACTATGGGACCTTTCTCTTTCGCCATTCGAGCTTCGAGGCGTTGTATGGTCCTGGGAAAGACAGAAGCTGGAAGGACTTTGTGGTTGCAGAGATTGTCGTCGAGGGGGCAAGGTTGCGAAAGGCTGACAACCCAGGCTTGTACTTGGCTGCGATGGTCTTTCTCCAGCTGAAGAAGGTCAAATGCGGTGCAGGTGAAGATTCTCATGAGAAGAGCGGCCTTCGATCGTACAGTGTCAGAGAAATCGGGCAGGAAGTCCGACAAGCATGGTTCAACGGTAGTCCATGCTACTGGGAGGATCGCGCTCAGACGGATAAAGAAGACTAAGAAAATTTCGAAGGGATTTATGGTAAGGAAGGCCGACTCGCTTCCCAGAGAAAGAAAGTGTGACTTTCAAGGGCGCACCCCGGCTTCCAGTCGTCTGTGGACCCGATGCTGGATCGAAAAAGAAAAAGATACTCCGGGGATATTCCTTCAACCGGAAGATGGTAGATGTGGTATCAGCATTGTAACAGGAGACAGAACTGATGTTGCTTGTGGACACTCGTTCAGAAGAAAAGGCGATAGAGGCAGAATTAGCGCTTGTGTCAACACGTCTCTGTAGAATTCAATGTCAAACCGAATTTACACCGTTGCCGGCACGAGCGTGTTCAATATAAAACCCACGAGACCAATCACGAACTGGCGGATTTCCACGACGACAACTACACATCATCGAGACTGCGAACTTGCGATTTCCTCGGTCATCAACAGCGATGGACAGATCTCACTTCGGCACCATCGACAGCATCACTCATCTCTGGAAAGGCTTAGGCCTTCCAGACAAGGCGCTCACAGCCATCCGCCTACCAGGCGTAGACGCCATAGGACTACCGTCCTCTTTCAAGATCGGACACTTGGCCCAGGCCTCAATCACACTAACGGCCCTCCTGGCTGCATTAATCAACTCGGAGCGCAATGGACACAGAGGAATCTCGACTGTCACCGTGCCTCTCCAACATGCACTTCTTGAATTTAGGTCCGAGAGATTCTACTCGATCGACGGGACACGCATGCCGTCGGCATGGGGACCGATCGGCGGCCTCCACAAGACCTCAGACGGCTATGTACGGGTGCACGACTCGTTCCCTAATCACCGTGCAGGGACGAAGAAGCTGCTGGGGTGTCCGGAGGACGCGGATCGAGACACCGTGGGTGCGAAGATTGCAAAGTGGAGGTCCGTGGACTTGGAGAATGCGGCGGTGGATGCTGGAGTCGTGATTGCGGCGCTGAGGACCTACGAGCAGTGGGATGTGCTCCCTCACGCGAGAGCTATCAAGGATTTTCCCATTCAGATCAGAAAGATCCCCGCCGACGGTAGTGGTGGTGGTGGTTTACCTTTGTGGCCGGAAGGCATGTCGAATGCTGATAGCAGTGGCCGTGCGGACAAATGCCTCCATGGCCTGAGAGTGTTGGAGATGAGTCGCGTCATCGCGGCCCCTGTGGCGGGGAGGACGCTCGCTGCCCACGGAGCGGAGGTGCTCTGGATAACCAACCCGAGGCTCCCTGACCAGCCCAGCCTTGACCGCGACACCGGGCGCGGAAAACGAACGGCGAGTCTTGACATCAGCCGCGCGGAGGACATGGAGACGCTCCTCTCCCTCATCGACGACGCCGACGTCTTCCTCCAGGGCTACCGGCCGGGCAGTCTCTCGGCCCGGGGACTTTCCCCCGAGACGCTCGCCACGCGACGCAGAGAAAAAGGGAAGAGGGGCATCGTGTTCGCCAATCTCTCCGCCTACGGGCCCGACGGGCCCTGGAGCGCCAGACGCGGCTTCGACTCGCTCGTGCAGACCTGCTCGGGCATGAACGCGTCCGAGGCAGAGCACTTCAGCGGCCAGACCACCGAGCACAGTGAGCTCCCTGCGAAGCCGACCCCGTGTCAAGCTCTGGACCATGCCTCGGGCTACTTCCTCGCTGCGGGCGTTATGGCGGCACTGTACAGGCAGGCACAAGAGGGAGAAGGAGGCGGCCCGTCGTCGTCGTACGAGGTCAGCGTCAGCCTCGCGGCGGCGATGAAGTATCTCCGCAGCCTGGGCCAGTATGACGGCCAGTCCGGGTTCCAGTGCAACGACGACTTTGCGACCTTGGAAGACGTCCCTGACGACTATCTCGAGGAGCACATGTCTGGGTTCGGCCTGCTCAAAGCCGTGAAGCACTCCGCGACCATCGACGGTGTCCCTGTGGGATGGGATGTGATGCCGAAACCATTGGGATCGGATGAACCGCGATGGCTTTGAGTGAGGGTTTTAGCCTTCATCAACGAGCCCCTTTTTAAACCCCCGGCCGCCGCCACAGCAATGACGGGAGCTGAGAGGTATGTATTGATGTGGTTGCTCAGAGCGCGAGGAGGATATTCCATGGAACTGCAATCACGAGAACAATTACGGAGGGCGTTGACATGTCTAGACGATGTCTCGCTGACGCTGCTGCACACGCGGCATTTCGCAGAATGAAAGTGTTAGTTACATACACAAAGTTCAAACACTATGTCCATCGGCCACCCCATTGAACAGTCTCTCCAGCCTCGAGAAACGATAACTCATGCCGATTTTCCAATCATGATTCCTCACTATTCGATTCACAGTCGCCAGAGACGGATGCAGACATTCATGTCTCAAATGTCCATCAGTGACTGGAAGCAGGGAACGGTGATCTGACTTGAAGATATAATGTGAAGCCGTGCCACGAGCCGTACCGATCATGTCGTCCAGGCCATCGATCGCAACCGGGATCATCGGATGTGATCGTGGTGGACCTGCCATCTCGCACATCTCCAGCAAATAAGCCAATTGCAGGTCGAACGGCCTCTGGCAGTTTCGCGAACTTGCTGAACAATTCTTACCGCGTCCAAAGGAGGATAGCCGCCATTGGAAATAAAGGCTGCCGCTAAGCTATGCAATAGCGAGTAGACACCCCCCGTGAGATAATAGTGTCACATAAAGAAACCAGAATACCTGCGAATCTGTCGTCAAATGCTTTGGTCTATTAGTTATATAGTTAGGCCATCAGGACGTATCCTGTATTAATGTCTCCTTCATTTACACCTTGGACGCGCATCCTGACATGGCAACTTTGTCACCTCAGCCATGAGAAGAAGGCTGTTTTCGCACAAAGGTGTGCTTGACAATATCACCTTCCCACATGTGCGACATCCATTCGCCAATGCCGTATTTTTCAGGAGCTCTCCGTACTCCTCGACCACCCCCACCGACAATGAGGTTGCCCGGACGATAAGTCGGATCTGCCTGCATGCGTCTGATGACAGAGATATGGATCTGTGCGTCATCTGGAATATCCCGGGTTTCTCCCATGGGAAGTGGCCTTCGTAAATGGTCAGCGAGCCGTGCGAAATCTTTGTGAATTTTGCGACGTACCAGCGGATAGCTTTCCATTTTCCATTTTGCAGGTCCATTCGTCGAAACGGGAGATATTCCATCAACTTCCAGAAAAAGACGGTGCCATATGGCAAGCCACCACCGTACTTGAGACAATCATGGACTGTCCCTTCAGTGTAGCAACGTTCCAGATTCTGGTGGAATGATTGGCGGCTCATGGTGTCCTCGATTTGTTCTCCAAACTCGTCGACTGAATGTGGCGAACAGCCTAAACGAGCCATCTTTCTGTTACATGTCAGAGCTTTTGACCAAAAAGGGGGTTAGGACGATCAAAGTCATACCCAGGGTCAAATTTCAATCCCGCCCTCTCCGCCTCGTGCACCATCCACACCAAGGGCGTGTGGCTGAGCACCCAATGCTCTTTGTCTCCCTTTCCCCAGCCTCCACCGATATCCCCATGACCCCCCGCGAACCAGACTTCTTGCACATCTTGCGAACGCTTTGGCTGCGACCATCGACGCCTAGTATGCTTTCGCGGCGATTTTGCTCTTTCCCGGAGATGCTCGGTGGAAGGAGAATGTACGGGGGCAGCAAGACTCTCGGAAGAGCTTTGTGATGCGAGCTGAACTCCCGGGACCGAGAGCTGACCACCCGATGAGCTTGTCAGGGTAATTTTCGGGCCTCCTGGCGCTGCACCGTTGCTCTGGCTCTCATCCGCTTGCACCTTCTCATTCATTTGTGCAAGGTCCGATTCGTAGCGACGCATGTGAGGACCGGTTTTATCCTCTGTTTCACTCTGTGTTCCGCCGATAAGATCTTGCCGGAACTTTGCTCGCCTTTCGTCAATCGAAACTGCATGCCGGATCACCTTGGCCGACGAACGGGCAGTGTAAGGGAATTTAGTTCGCTGCATCCAAGCCGACTCGAATCTTGGCACCGAGTTCACTGTGTCGAACAGGCCAAGGAAACGAATTCGACGGACTGGCCTGCTGCTGCGGCGGGTGTCAGAATATCCAGAGGTTATTAAGACGCTGTCGGGGAAGGACTCACAATGTTTCCCTGAACCCCCGCATAAACTCGTAGTGTTCCTCCTCGTATTTTCTGGCCTGATCACTGCCATCATTCGTTCTGGCCGCCCATTTGGCGTACGTCTTCCAAGCAAACCTGATGAGCTCTTCGTTGCCGGCAGCTAGCAGACCGATGTGATCTAGCATTTCGGCAAGAAAGCGAGCCGTGTAGGCTCCACGGCTGAAACCGAAAAAGTACAAGTCATCTTCGCAGCTGTAGTAGCGCATAAGGAATTTGTAGCCCCCCATGACATGATCTGCAAACGATGTGCCGACAGCCTCATCTTTGGTTTTCAGGTACCATGATCGAATCCGACCGAGTGTGGACGTGGTTTGGATCTGAAAGGTGAGCGATGGGATTTTTCCCAGAGAGATCTTGTCTCACTTACCGAATGAGAACTAACGTATGTCCCGATTCCTGGCTGGTAAAAGGTGTACATGTTCACATCAGAGCGATCAAGCATGCGGTAGAGTTTGAGGATGTTGCTGTCAGTGTCGTTTCCGCTGAACTTGTTGCCCGTGCCCTTGGAACGTTGTCAGTAAATGCTATCACATGTTGGAAGCTGGGGGATGAACATCAAAACAAAGAACGAAAACGTTCTTCTGCCGGGGCTGGTGTGGCTCTGGAGCGGCCATTGGAAGGAACACCTCTAAGTGCGGGATGCTAAGAATGATTAACAATACGGAGAAAGACAGAGACTCCAGCGACAAGAAGAGGAATCGACGTCGAGTTAAGGATGTGAGATCCAACTCGCCTCAGATCAACCGTATGAAAAGAGGCAGTGGAGTGTGCTCATTCGGCATGGGCTCATATTTTCCCTCTGTGTGGCTCTTCCCGCACAGAGCAGACAGAGTCTTGCCATCACAGCATGGGCCACCGTTGACATTCACCCGACACAGCAGCAAACAACTTTGCGCCTGACCGCCAGAATCCAAGCAATTTCGGAAATGATGGGCGATACCTAACTTCCGCAACTGCAGGATGGACGGGGTGCTCGGACGCACAACGAAAGGTCTCATGAAGATGATCAAGATGGTTTAGTACTCAAGTGGACGTCCAAAAGCCCCAGGGGGCCATACGTTGAATGATGGTGGTGCGTGATGAGGTTGCACACCTTCCAAACCCACAGCCATCCCTTGTTGCGATGGAAGGGACTCGGTGGGTGATCACTCGCTGGCGCCTGGGGTGGGACTGGGGTCTCGTTTGCTCTCTACTTGATCCATGGATCATCGTTCGATTGGCATTTGGCAATCCGAATTAGGCCTCAAGTTGATGGACGTTGCTGTTTTGTTCGAGCAGCCTAATCTGGAAGCGGAGGGGAAGTCTGCACGAAACCAGACAGCTGACCTTCATCGGTGATGGGATTGGCAGTCCAGGCCAACGATCGGCAGTCGAACAACAAGCGAGAAAGATACTCGAGGCGGGTTCTCCATCAGCAAAAGGAAGAGCACGAGGAGGCAAGGAGGCGCTTGGCCCAAGTTTGCCCTAACCACCGCCCCCCATCCCCCCGGTCCGGTCCGATTCAATTCGACCGGACCTTGGAACTAATGGCCCCGGCCCCACTCCGCACGGACCGTCGGTTGGATCGCTGGCTCTCTGGCTCTCTCCCTTACTACACTCCGACAGCTGTCAGGTCGCCATCGACATCCATCGTCCTACCCCGACCTTCATCTTCATGCAATGATTGATCCACGACTCACTGATAGCACAATATCTTGTGCGCCACCTTTGGCATTTCACGTAAAACAGAAAGTCATCCCCCAGCACCTTCGGTGGTCTACCAGTACCTTGCCCGATATTACTGGGGAATGTCGGCCTCATTGGCTCGCAATGACTCAATGGAAGCACACACCGACTTTGATCTCTCCGAGCAGGTCAGCTAATTGAAAGAATAATGTTCGGTCTGACTGGAGAAAGACGCCGTGTTGAACGCATCACCAGAGCACGGAACAGCTAGAGACGACCACTGTTTTTAAACTCCTACTCGTTAGTTGTGTCGGGAGCAGACACTTTGTCAGACTGTGCCCTTTTCGCATTGGGGTGAGCTCGGGGGAAGATGATCTTTCCAAGGTAGCTGTCCACTATATCAGGCTTGACGTACCGATCAACACGGTACCGCGGGCTGAAATTGGAAGAGCAGTAATGACACCTCGACACCTCGCCCCGCATCGGACATGGTACGTGCGGCTGGATTGACCTCCAACTCACCTTCGATGCACGAAGCTGTCATTGCACAAGAAAGTGGCACATGTAGCTTCAAGCCTATCTTGTCTGAACTTGTCTCCACCCTTCCATACACCAGCCATTCATTTGGTTTGCTTTCAAGTACAACTGGGCGCAGATCGCCCCTTGACTTGCTCAGAACAAGTTGTTTCCACCCTGGATATGGAGCTTTGATGATCTTGGTCTACGTGTACCGAGCTCGACTGTCATTCCCTTCAAGAGGCAAAGCTGTGTTTTGAAGCTTTGGGCCTCCCTTGAAACCCCCTGGAGTTTCTTTCTCATGCTCCTTGCTTTCTGTCATATGCCCTTCTTATCCTCACAACCAAGTACAATATCCCAAGGCCGTGAACTGGAGCAATGCCGTTGCTAAGAAGAATTTCTTCCAACTTCAGGAAGCACAAGGGAGCAAAGAGCAATGGTGTCAATGGCGCCCTTCCCGCCGTCGACGAATCAAAGCCTTCCCCTGCTGCTGTGAACAATGACCAAGTCAACGGCACAGCCCCAAATGGTGCCTCTGTCGGTCAGAGCCTTGAAAAAACAAAGGATATTCAACGGCCAGCGGCACCCAAACTGGCCAGTACCCCGAATCTTCCAAAACCCGCGAAAGATGA